ATGTCAAATTTCAATTTGCTCTTCGAAATACATTTTTTTTTGGGGGGGGGGTGGGGGTTAGATCGTGTAAATATAAATGTGTCGTGAACCCACCGCCACCCGACAGCCAATAAGCAAGGCTTGTTCACGTCAACAAAACGTGGCAATTAGTTACCACCGCAGCACACCGGTGTTTCAGAGTAAACCCACATTTATAATTTGAGTACTGTGACGTTTCGTTGGTGCGATTACACATTAACCCCTAGAAAAAACGTTAATACGAATAACATTAGTGGCGCAAGCCATATACGTGTTAAGTCCAATTTACTTTTAATTTTACCAGCTGAGAACTCTGATGAGAGCAGGATTACCTCACTTGCAAGAGTGTCCCCCTCTCGCTCGTGTCCCCCTCTCGCTCGTGTCCCCCTCTCGCTCGTGTCCCCCTCTCGTGTCCCCCTCTCGCGTCCCCCTCTCGCGTCCCCCTCTCGCGTCCCCCTCTCGCGTCCCCCTCTCGCGCCCCCCTCTCGTGCCCCCCTCTCGTGCCCCCCTCTCGTGCCCCCCCCCCCCCACGTGTTCCCCCTCTCGTGTTCCCCCTCTCGTGTCCCCCTCTCGTGTCCCCCCTCTCGTGTCCCCCCTCTCGTGTCCCCCCTCTCGCCTCGTGTCCCCCCTCTCGCCTCGTGTCCCCCTCTCGTGTCCCCCTCTCGTGTCCCCCCCCCCCCCCCACGTGTTCCCCCTCTCGTGTCCCCCCTCTCGTGTCCCCCCTCTCGCCTCGTGTCCCCCTCTCGTGTCCCCCTCTCGTGTCCCCCCCCCCCCCCCCACGTGTTCCCCCTCTCGCCTCGTGTCCCCCTCTCGTGTCCCCCCCCCCACGTGTCCCCCTCTCGTGCCCCCCCCCCACGTGTCCCCCTCTCGCCACGTGTTTCCTCTCTCGTGTCCCCCTCTCGTGTCCCCCTCTCGCCACGTGTTCTCACCGGGGCTGACACCGCTCACAGACTGCGGTGGTGCCCGTGTGAGGAGCCGCTCCGATTCAGGGAGACACAACTCTCTGATCTCATCTTAACGTCACTTACATACGGAGAATTAAGAACGGTACGACGCTCGTGTGTGTGTGTGTGTGAATGTAATTGGCTTGGAGATGAGGTGAATAAAATAGGCGAGAAAGAAGCAATGGGGGGCGAATCTGCGACGATGCGTGAATTCGGCGAGTGAAACTTATAACAGGAAATTTTGCTGGCTGGATTGAATGAATGGGCTTAATGAGTGATAGCCGTCTAATGAGAATATGAAGAGGGAACAAGAGCGGTGGTCTTCTTTGGTTCTTTCGGTAAAGTCACGTAGAATGAGAATAAAAAATAAAATAACAATAAAATTCTCACGACGTTTCGGCCACAACGCAAGCGGCCGTCTTCAGGTGACCTGTCGGGACGACAGAGCTCTGTCGTCCCGACAGGTCTGTACCTTTTCACCTGAAGACGGCCGCTTGCGTTGTGGCCGAAACGTCGTGAGAATTTTATTGTGTTATTTTATTATTTTATTCTCATTCTACGCGACTTTGCCGAAAGAACCAAAGAAGATGAATCCTTGCAGTCACGAAAGCTTTAAATCGAACAAGAGCGGTGGTGGTTATTAGGGGGATATTAAGGGGTTGTGGGATGAGCAAGGGAACATGTTTTGAGTGAGGAGCTAAGAACTCGTGAGCGAAGGCGACTGATGAACACCCCTGCCGCCGCAGCAGCAGCAGTGTGGTGAACTCGCCTCCACCCAACACGGCCACCGCTAAGCTGTTCCGCTCTAGCGGCACTCATTGTCAGACGGGGGAGAGGATACTTTCGCCGACAAGACGGCGTGAGGAGGGTCCCGGCACACCGCGGCCTGCACGGGGGTGGTGCATCGCGTGCCTGCATTGTGGAGGGCCGTACTCGAGGCCACCGAGGGTCACCAGTGGCCCGTGGACCTGCTCGGCAGGTCCTCTCATTGTAAGCACTTCCCTGTTCCCTCACCGCATGCACTCATTTCACCCAATCATCATCATCATCGACGACGACGTTCTAGATAATGTAATCTATATGCCACCCCTAAATAAACTGGTACTGGGTTATCTACCGTACAAGCGCGAGTTAGGGGCCGTTCATAAAATGAGTTTGCGCTCAGTTTGGCGACGCAAACGTGAATTACAATTCGTCGCAGTAAAACATTCACGAGAAATCTGCCACCGACAAACCGAGCGCCCTGTACGGGGGTGCCGCTCCACACAAGTAGCGAGGAGCAACAGACGACCCCTCCTGAAACCAGTTCTGATATTGTCATTACTTTATAAACAGATGACAAAAGTATTGAGACGTAGTGGACATACACACTACACTGACTACAGGGTAAAGCTGCTCCCCCCCTCCCCCTTTTTGTCAACATCTTTAAGGCATACTCAACTAAAGTGTTGGGCGAATCTCGCATACGTCTTAGAAGCAAAAGCGAAGTCCTGTTGGGGTCCAGCTGATCTGTGGAAGTTGCGCGGGGCGACGTTCCGTGGCTCTAAGCAACAGAAGCCCCCTACCCCCCCCCCGTCACCCCTTCCCCCTCGATAAGTTTTATATTAAAAGATAAACTTTGTAAGATTGCAACGTTCGTGCAAGGGCAAATGTTTGACACGGGAGTTATATTAGACGGTTACGGAAGGATTGTAAAACAAAACTTGTATTTTAATATTGGCCAGAGTTGGTAACTGCCAAATACAGGTCTGCCCTTTGTGAATATGGCAATATGAAGGCCTACAGCAATGTAAGGTATCGGGTAGCCAAGGTAGTTAGCAATGGATTACGACACAGAGGCGTTTCAGATGTAAATAATCCAGAGGTTGCGATGCCCGGTGGAGAATGGAGGAGGGTGGATGGCCGAGTCCAGTGTTGGGAGTGCCACCCACAAGTTGGACATCAAGGGGAAGACCAAACGCCAGGTGGTGGGATGACGTACGCAGCTCCCTCGTTATTCGCGAGGGATACGTTCGGGAGATGCAAGTGAAGAGCATTCATGTTCAGAAAACGTCGGCGAGTCGAGACAAAACAAACAGCTGTTTCCTCTGCTACGGGATTAAACATCCCGTTTTACTTGTAACCAAACTGTTTTTTTTTACGTGATTCAAAACACTTACACGTTCGTAAATTACAAAACTTGGAAGGCAATATTAATTATAGTACGATACACAACCAAATCGGACTGCTCGTGCCGTATTGCACGTCCGCGCGAAGTCAACGCGATTCATTCCCTTAACCATTGCTGTACTTTTGGAGCCCGAACAGTATTTTTGTTTTGCTCATGTTAAACGAATACGAATTTATTTATTTAACATTGCTCTGCAAACACCACTCGTTAAGACGGGAGAGACCCCCGACGATCGGGACCACAGACACAAACCAAGCCGAGTGCGCCCAACAGCTCACGTGAGTCACTGCGCACCACCCGGTGTCACGTTCCCGACGATCGACGGGCGCTAGGAACCGCACACTTGGCAGGGCAATCGATCGTCATCCGTTGTTTTTGGGTATCGACAAAATAAGCGTTGGACGCCACCCGCAGCGGTCCGGCCCCGCGCGAAACAATTTAGGGCACGCATCCACGGGCGCAACGCTCGGGCGTGTCGGGAACCGGTGACGGCCGCTCTCAACGCGCCGTGACCCAAAACTTTCCTCCCAACTTGTCAAAGAACCCCCCACGCCACACCCCTCCCCCCCCCCCCCCAATGTTAAACAGGTCCCTGTAGGGTGGGCTGGTAGGAACATTGAAATTTTGCGCAATTTTATTTTTACACCCCAACAGCACGAGATTTCACTTCGTTAAAGTATTGAAAGGGGACGGACGGACGGACACATTAATCTATTGCAGGCTGGTACACTCAGTTTACAACTTCGTTCCTACCAGTATAAAAATGCCTTAAAGAAAAACACTACATAATAGGAGACGTTTCGGGCAACGGTACCTCTTTACAGCACACGGGCCAGAGGTAGAGCGGGCAAGAGTTGGAGACTGCACGAGACACAATGTTAGGGGGGCAAGATGCGAATTACATTTTAGAAATCTGAACGCCAACTTTTCGATCTTCCCACGATGTGCGAAGAGAACGAACCAATATTAAACAGTCAACATGGGAACTTGGCATTATTATCTTTGTGGATTAACGCACTACAAAGTAGCCGTAAATTTTATCGTTATATTCTCGATGCGCAGCATGCCATTGATAGAACTGCAGGAATATTTTCTTAGAGTTTAACCCATCACGTGTACACCTTAGAGGGCAAGGTCCCAAGTGATCGCTCAAGCCAGGATTCTATAATATCTCTGCCTGTAGCCAACTCGAGTACACTCCACCTGTGAAAGACAGTGATAGTACCTGTCACCGTCATCGGGCATGTTCAATCCACTGCTGAATGAAAGCCTCTCTAAGCTGTAACTGTTACCGCTCACGATAGTCGTGCATTTATAAATAATGGCATTTACATCAATAATCATTATCATAATAGTTGAACACGTAGTAGGTTTTCCAAACAATATTATTCATAATCGAGGGTTTTTGGGAAAGATCGCGTAAATGTGTAGTTAGACCTGCCACCACCCGACGCAACCAACTACTAAGGTTTGTGACGTAAATAAAAAGTGCCAATTCGTTACTGGTACAGCACTCCGGTGTGTTGGAGAGTAAACCCCACAACATTTACAATTAGAATACCACGTTTCGCCAGTAAAGAATAATAACCTCTCGGCTTCGATCGATTATAACCGAGCAATACTTTGCAACAGAGCAATAATATTTGTGTTGCTGGAGCGCCACCATTGTCCATAACACTACCAAAATACACATGGCCTCGTGAAAACCAACCGAGGCGTGGCAATTGCATAGAATCACGCATTGTGAGGCCGGTCCTCCCAATGTGGCACGTTAAATTACAATAATGCGACCTGATATCGCAGTGGCGCCGTCCCAGGTCAACTCAAGCGACTGCAGCTAACAACAATGACGCACACAAATGCCGTGCTGACGAGACGAGTAGAGTTTCTCATTTATTCAGCTCTCCATTACAAAAACAAAAAATATATCATCGTAAAAGTATTCGACCTTTTGTTGAGGGAGACGTAGAAAATTGAGGGTATAAATGGGCGCATGGTTATGGCTAACTCTGCCACGTTACAAATTACACGGAGCCAACTTACGCTACATTCGAGTTGCGTTTTAACTGGTTTAAGTTTTGCGAAAGCGCACGTTTAAAATGCTGTTTTCTCACTTACAACCCAACTGTGCCAATACATGACAGAAAGTATGTCGTGTATGTGAAAGTAAAATAACCCACCTTGTGAACGTGAAAACGTCACCGAGCCAAAAACTAAAAATTGAAAGCACAAATGCCACAACACACGGCCGCACGCGTCTTGGTTCGGACAACTTTATTACGAAAACGATTCTTTTTTTTTAAATGTTCACCTCGACCGCCGGGCCGTTGGCGAATGCGTCCGCGGCAAATCTCTTTGGCCGCGTACCGACGGGCGGTGAGAAGTCGGACGTCATTAGCGCCACCACAAATTTCCAGCCGCCCCCCCCGCCAGCCCCCCTCCCACCCCCAAACCAAGGAACGCCCTTCCCGAACGGCAGCAGCTGACCGGCTACCTTCCACCTCCAAGACTTCTCCCTCGCAAACGATCGACTCATCACGCCCCCCGCGCCCGGCTGCACCCCCCGGAGACGCACGCTTTTCACCGCCAAGCCGCGCGTGCCGTACAGATGACTTCGGGGGGGGGGCACCCAGAGTGGGGGGCCAAAGGGGTCAAGTCGCCCCAGGGGCCTCGCACACAAACCAGGCCAACGACAATAGGCCTGGTGGTGTTGCCAATGAATAAGGGGGGGGGGGGCGAGGGTCTTGGGGACGTGGCATTATCTTCCTCAGGCCTCCAGGGACGACCTCTTGCCAGCTTGGGCACGGGAAGAGAGGGGAGCGGGCAACGTTAAGTTCGCCGCCGTCTTACTTTGGGGCGAGCAAATTGCAAACTTGCGTGGCTCCACGGCCGCGGAAAGACAAGGCTCCGGCAGGACCACTACCTTGGGGGTTCACAGGAATGGATGGAGGGGCAGCACGAAGAGCACACTTATAAAAAGCCGTAGGGGCACACCGCGCTTAAATGAGTAACGGACGCGAAACGTGCGTGGGTATTAACAGAGTGCTTCTACTCGGTGCAGGGAGGCGTGGAACGAGCCCGCGTGTTATTGGCGTGGAACAGCGTGCAGGACATCTCATTCCGAGGATGCGACAATGCTTTCTAGGCCACACTTTTTCTCAAAAAACCCTCAACATAAAACAGAGCGCCAATCCCGGCTCACGACAGACCGCCTAAACCCCCCCCCTCCTCCTCCTCCTCTTTGGGGTGGTGGTGAAATTGCAGGCAAACGCATACACACACTCTTATTGCCATAAAACGTCGATTGTGCAATTGCAAAAAAACAATTTAACCCGGGTGTATTAATGGCAACACAAAGTGGGAACACTCGCTTTGCAGCCTGGGTGTATATTAAAAAAGCGTGAAAGGTGAAAGCGATTTACTTTCGAGTGCGACACGACGAGATGACACGCCACACCACGCCGGCGATGGACACGGACGACGCTCCGAGCGGATCGCGACAATGGGAAAATGTAAATCGCGCCGTGGTCAAAGGGGGAAGGGTGGGATTTTTTTTGAGTCTTAAAAATAAAACGCACAGCGGCTAAAATGGAAATCGCATTGTAGTGCAAGCAATGGGAGATCTTTAAAATACACAACGTGGTTACGGTTATTTAGGCTGAAGCGCACGTAGCATGGCAAACCTCCCACCACCCCACAATTCTCTGCGAGTCCTAGCAGCGCCTATACACAGCTGCAGCAGCTCGATCCAGCCACGAGACAAAACCAGCTGACCGGTGACTTTAATCAGATTTCACAGTGACGAAGCCACTCGTCGCCCATGTACGAGGATGCCGTTATCTTAGGAACGTCACGAGAGCATTTCCCATTCCTCTGACGGGCCACGCATCTCCCACAACGCACAACTCCCACGCGTAGGCTGCAGCGGTCACAGCTGTTGCTCATGAGAAGTTGCCTCCACAGCCGGAGTGGCGGTTGCTGCAGCAGCAGCAGCGTCGCATGAGCCGGCCGCCGCGAGAATATTTCCACTGTAGTTCCCCTCGATCTGAGAAGGGGGTGGGGTGGTGGTGGGGGGGGAGGTCTCTATGCAGCAAGTCGGGCAGGCCGAGGGTACATTTTGGTGAAGAGCGCCCGAAGCACTTCGAAAGGCACCAAAGGGAGGAAAGAGATTAGCGAGCCGGCAGAAATATAACCCGGATTCGGATGCGAAGATCGAGAGATCACGCTCGGAAAACCCTCCCCGCGAGACACGTTCGACACGTTCGACGCGACGCAGCAGGGCGCACGTCGCAAGCTGCCGCTGGCGAGGCCGGGACACAGCGCCGCCGCTGGTCGTCAGCCGCTCAGGAGGCAGACTCCGAGTGAGGAACGAGAACCAGGAAGCACCCCCACCTCACTTGCTGAAGGCCAAGCGGGGGTGGGGTAAAAGAGCTGCTCCCTCGACCAGAATCAAGTCATTCCAATTCTCTTCCCGTCGGCACTCCCACGCTCGCGCCACTGCGATCCATCCAGCAATCAAGAATGCACAAGACGGTTGCCCACTTCGCCCTCACACCGTTCCCTACCCCCGCCACTCATTATGGGGCCACCCCATACGATGCCGCATCCACTTCTAAAACGAGCACACACCAAAAGGCGTGCGAGATTCTCCACGACTCCGCTCCTGCCCGACCCTCAACTCCACCCCATCTCCCACCGAATTCCCTTCCGCCTCGCATCCCCCCCCCCCGCCCCTTCACATCCTCCATCAACTCTGCCCTCTCTCCATCTCCTTGTCAGCCTCAATTGCCAATGGAACTCCATGGTTCTGCCCTCCACCCCACCTCCTCTCTTCTCAGCAATCGAACTCTCGCACAGACCATCTCTCAACATTCCCCACCGCACCCTCATTATGCGGACTTCTCCTTCCACTCACCAAGTCCCCCGTCCCCTCTCAAGAGTTTGTTTCTGGCCTCTCCCCTCCTCTCATCCTCCTCCCCACTGGGTGCTTAAGTGTCCCTCTGAGTGGAAGCCTCCCGTGCCTTCCCTCTGCCGTGTATTTTTTATTTACATCAGTTTTATGACGGAGTGCTTTGCAAGTTAAAGTGCTCTACGCATAACAAAGGACGACGATTGTCCATCGTGATGATGAGCGTCGTTGAAATTCAACGTTCAGATTTAAAAAATTGCATCCACAATTGCGGCCTGCGAAGTCTGAGGCAAGACGCATCGCGACGCATCGATAGCTCGTACATAAAAGAGCAGAAAAAGGGAGTGCGTGAAATGGAAATCATCCGATAACAAATGGAAAGAAAACCGAATGCAGATGACGCAACAGCAGCAATGAGCAAGTGAGGGATTTCTAAAAGCCGAGCGTCATCACAAGGAAAGCAGGTAAAGGCGCGGCACTCCAATCTCTCTCGGCCAAGCCACTGCTGGCAGAAGGCCCTCCACTCAAAGGAAGGATTTGGCCTCCCCCCTTCCACGTCAGACGTACGCCGTAGAAAGGGCGGTGGTGGGGGCTCCGCACTTCACACCGCACTGCGACCTGCCGATCGGCTAAACCGCATCACTGAAGGGAAAAGGCGAAAATTCGAGGCTTCTCGATGAGCGCGCTCGGGTGCGGAACAGCCGCTTGCAACGAACGCGACAGCGGGATGGTGGGACAGCGATCGTGATAGCGCCTTGCATTGCAACGTTGATCCCTTCTTCTCGGCTTTAGCAGCGCAACGCAAAACGACGGACAGCGTGGCTGTGGAAAGCATGTGTGGTGGTGGTGGTGGTGATGGAGGGGTTTAGCCCTGCTCACGGTGATTTTCATCACGGATTGCAAAAGGGGTGGGAGGATCCTGTTCCACGCGCTTTTGACCGGTGCTTTGAAAAGTGCCACACTCTGACAAACACAAGGCAACAGAGTACAAAGAACAATTGGCCTGGAAAAAAATATATATCTTTTTTTTTAAAGGTACTCAACCGCAGGAATACAATAATGATCAAACGGCTTCGAAGAAAGGCAGGACTGGAGCAGACATTACCGGGGCAGAGACAGTGCAACGAAATCAGACCACATCACCTGCATCAAAGCTGCAGAAGGGATTCTCGGTGGCGTCAACAGCAAGGCGAGGCGGTTCGTCGAGCAGGGCAACTGTGTTGCTTGCACGGGGAAAGTAACGGGAGGAAAATACTCCTGAACCCAAAGCAATAAACGGTCAAATAAAACGTCGAAGTTTTTTTGTTTGCTTGTTTTGCATGTACGGAGCAAAGTCGGATCCTTCGAGCCGAATCGATGTCATTGTCTCAGGATGAAAAGTGGCTGCGGCCCGGCTGACCCTCAGCCACACGGGAGAGAGAGATGTCCAATCCGCGCGAGTCCCAGTGGTGCCGTCCTCCGAGATGGCATCGTTGGCCACAGGCAACCAAATCAGCTGCCGGAGCTCGCTCAGGTCGGGCAGTCCCGCACTTGCCAGATGATCACGTGGCTCAGATCCTTGATCAGCGACGGTTTGATCGGAGCCACGTCGTCCGCTTCTTCTCCATCGCCTGCGTTCACAACGTACGTTTCAAAATCACCTTATCTTATCTAGATTCGTATAGTGCATTTTCCAAGGCTCTTTGCAATGATTATAAAAATTGTACGCGCCACGATAACGGTTTGAGCTGAAGAATGGTTATTATTACAAGTGGTGGTGTAGCTTTAGTGCCAGCAGAACAGGCGTTAAGGAAGGGTTGGGGTAGGCCTGGTCGTTGCTGGGGGAGGGAGGGGGGGGATGGGGGGAGGGCGACAGAAAGATGGCGGGCGGAAAAGTAACGAGGCATTGCATCGGGAAGACAAAGGGGTCGGGGTTAGGGGGCGGGAGTCAGGCGGGCAAGTCCTCCGCATCATCATCGTTGCCACCATCATCATCATTACTTCTGTTGTCGCCATCATCACGACTCTGACGCCTGCTTTATATTTGGAGTTTGCATGTTCTCCCTGCGGCCGCGTGGATTTTTCTCCGGGTCCTCCGGTTTTCCCTTCCACATTTAGCATCAACGTGCGCTTAGAGTATTTGCCTGTCGTGCGCTTAGAGTATTTGCCGTCGTGCGTTTAGAGTATTTGCCTGTTATAAATGTCCACGTTATAAGCCACTTGGTCAAGCTATTATTTGTGGCCTGGTCGCTTCTGACAGAGCTACATAGCTCAGTGGGCCTTACCTGGTAAAATAAAAAGGTTTCGTTTATAGTTTACATTTATAATCTTAAACGAACTTAGGTGGTTGATTAGCCAGATGATTGCGTCACAAGCAGCGGAGTGCAACGCCGCGGATGTGTGCACGTCCAGGACGTTGAACTTACTTCGCGCCGTACCTACACAACTGTGCTAAAAAAGGATGCCTCTTTTATATTCGTGAATCGGCGGCGGCGGCGGCTGCTGCTGTCGAGGACGGCGTAGCGCAGGTGGCAAGGTGACCCTGGGGGGGATGTCGCTTCCACTCAGCCGGGTGTGTGCCAACGCCGAGCTGCACGTCGCGGGGAATGACAAGGCTCTCCCCGCCCCCCCGTACCAATGCGGAAGTCGATGTAGCCCTCGCCGCCGCTCACGACCAGCATGTACTTGGGCTTGCCCCGCACACCGCCTTGGGGCTCGGTGGGCCGCGCCGGCATCTCGCTGGCGTCCGCGTTGCAGCCTGTCACGCAGAATCGATAAACGGAAATCTTCCATTTTAACAACCGGAGGAATCCGATGAGCTGTGAAGCTCTTTTTCCACACAGATGTCCAATAGGGGCCGGGTCGGAACGTTGCAACAACCAACAATACAAAAAAAACGATAGCAGTGCAAAGTATAGGAAAGGTAAACAAGTCACTTTTTTTAAATATAGATCAAAAAAACTAAACTAATTTTGATTTGACAAGGTAAAGCCAAATGAGCTATTAGCTTCTCTTTCAGAAGCAACCTGGCCACAAATGCTAGCTCAGTTAAGTGGCTTATCACGTGGAAATTTAAAGCAGAAAAATATTCCAAATAATCCAAATGCACAGAATACACAAGCCATAAATGCGCACGGCCCTCTGTGGAGGTTGGTGAGAATGGGTAGTTGGTGACTAGGTTTTTCAGGGCTTACCATATGAAGACGGTTTTCATCACAAATAGGATAGGGTTTAAGTATGCATATTCTCTGCATGCTCGATACCATGCCACTGATAAAACAGAAGCAAACGGAGCACTATTAAAAATGACAAGTCAATACATTTCTGGATGGCTGGATGAAGGCCTCCCCCAGCACCGTGATGGTCATGAGGTTATATTGGACCATGCTTCACCACGCTGGTCAGTGCGGGTTTGGGGTGGGGGGTGAGGGGCTGCACAAGTGTCGGTTCGAAGGTCACTCGGCACGCCGATGTGCGCCGTAGCTAGGAATCAAAAATCAAATCGCTGGGTTCACAGCACAGCGAACAAAAAACTCGGCCGCCACGCGACTCGACACAAAACCCCCCACTGGGCACGGTCCCACCTACCTGGCACGGCGAGGAAGAACTTGACGGCGTCCCTGTGGCCGTGGAAGCAGAGCTGCGCGTCGGCCATCGAGCAGTAGGGGATGAAGGTGGCGGGCGTCACCTTGTCTCCCGTCTCGTCCCCGTAGACGCGCACCACCCCGCCGGGCCGCGCCAGGCCCGGCCCGCCGCTGCCTCCTCCCCCCAGGCGGCTGGCTGCAAATATGACACGTGGCCGATCAGCGGAGGGCAGCACGCGCACCACCGCACGCTCATTCCGCCGACTTGCTCCGCGGTTGCACTCGGCTGGACTTCATTGCGTTCGCTGCCAACCCCCTTCCCGGTGCCTGCCCGCGCCTGCCCTCTCCACGCCAGCGACTACCGCCTCCCCCTCCAACCATGGCACCAAGAGGAGCCGAGTGAGAGGCCGCGCCGCTGTTCTTTGCCCCCTCTCGCTGGAACTCCCGCACACCGCTCCGAAACATCGGCACCCCTCGCCGCCTCCGTTCCAGTTCAAACTCAGGACCCAGCTGTTCTCCACCGCCGATGGTGAATCGTAACCTGCCCCTTACTACCTCCCCTCACGGCCACGCATTGTGGCCATCTACACCGCTGAGACGTCGATAGAACTTTTTGCGTGCCATACGTAGCCAGCCGTGCTAGTCGGAGGTGCGGGGGGAAGGACAAGAAACTGAACGCACCCGTGTTTTGAGAAACGCCGATCTAGCCATTGACCATCGCAGCCCTTGAGAGGCGACGTGCAACTTCACAACACAGCCGTGTTCATCGATGTAAATGATGACACTGCTGCTGCTACTGCTATCCCCATTGTCTGGGACTCCCCTGCAGTCAACTGCATTGTCGAGATCCTTGTTCTGTTTAAGTGCAGGCTCAAGACTTTCCTCTTCTAAACTGAACTATATATTTTTTATTTTACCAGATAAGGCCCCACTGAGCTATATAGCTCTTTTTCAGAAGTGACCTGGTCACAAATGATAGCTCAACATAGTGGCTTATCACGTAGAAATATATAGAAGCCAAATACTCGAAACGCACGTTTCGAAATGTGAAAGAAAAACCCGGAGAACCCAGAAATAAAATAACGGGACCACGGGGGGGAGAGACACACTCAAACTACAAATATACAGGCTTCGTCAGGGTCGGGATCTAACCCACGACGACCTACTGCATACCAGGAAAAGTAGTTAACATCTCCCCATCACCGTCTCTGGAGTATCTTCACACGCACTTGGACTATAATGCCACAATAATCCCCCTTCTGGCCTGAACAATGTTCCCCCAATTCCCCTCTTCTAATGAAAAAAAAAACCGGCAAGTTCTTACAGACGGGCATATTTCCCATATTTGTAAGCGAGTACATTTATAAACGTGCAACTCTCATAACCTAGGTTATTACGAGTGCTCAATATTCATACGCTGTAAGCTACAAAGACAAGCTAAGACCTAAAAATGCATGCGTGTTCACAAGCTGATGCGCCACACCCAGGTCCTATTCACATGCAGTCGTATTGCCGTGTCACTTCAAAACCTTGCCTGCAGAGGCAAGAGGTGGCTCGTGGAGAGAATGGCAGCAGCAGGCATTCATTTCAGTCAGGTCTGCCTGGGTCGAGGCACCCAGCCACACCACATCCAGTAATGCATCTCGCTCTGGCTTTGAGCCTACTACCAACCAGTAACGCGCCTGGTCCAGTTCAGTCTACGAGCGACCGAGAAAATAATGGGTAAGACATGAAGCCCTGGATGTGAGAATTAGCGTAGGGAAGGGCGGCCGTGTTACTTACCGCACCAAGCCGGGCCACCCAGGCCCAATGCCTTCTGCCGAGACGCTGCGGTGCCACACGCAGAGGAAGAGGAAACAAACGGGGGCAGAGGGAAGAGAGCAAGAGGGGAACCGACGGGACGGGGACGCGAGGAAGAGGAGGAAGAGGAGGTGGAGGTGAGGGGGCGGGGAGGTGAGAAATGTATAATATTCATTCCAGCAAGTGAAGATGGTTCGCAGGAACCAGAAAGATTAGAAATACAGGAGGAAAAATACATTGATAAATAAAATTAAGCGAGGATTAAAACGAAGGGGATTGCATGGGCAGTTCTTGCAGGAGCCGTTCGGGGTGGGGCAGGGGTGTAATGCACAGCCACGGGTTAATTGAAAACAAACAAAAGAGAATCGTGGTGCGCCAACGCAAAACAAAAACGCGGCGTTGAAGCAAAATGGATGACTTGCGAGGAAGCGACAGGAAACAACAAAAATGGGGCGGGCGAGAGAAAGGAGGGCGATTGAAATTACACGGAGCACTGATCGTAACGGTGCCCCTACCACCGTCGTCATGCAACCCAGAACACATTCACGTGGCACGTGACACACTTCAACCCAGTACACATCCACGTGGCACGTGACACACTTCAACCCAGTACACTCACGTGGCACGTGACACACTTCAACCCAGTACACATTCACGTGGCACGTGATACACTTCAACCCAGTACACTCACCCAGTACACTCACGTGGCACGTGATACACTTCAACCCAGTACACATTCACGCGGCACGTGACACACTTCAACCCAGTACACTCACGTGGCACGTGATACACTTCAACCCAGTACACTCACCCAGTACACTTCAACCCAGTACACATTCACGTGGTACGTGATACACTTCAACCCAGTACACATTCACGCGGCACGTGATACACTTCAACCCAGTACACTCACGTGGCACGTGATACACTTCAACCCAGTACACTCACCCAGTACACTTCAACCCAGTACACATTCACGTGGCACGTGATACACTTCAACCCAGTACACATTCACGTGGCACGTGATACACTTCAACCCAGTACACATTCACGTGGCACGTGATACACTTCAACCCAGTACACTCACCCAGTACACTCACGTGGCACGTGATACACTTCAACCCAGTACACATTCACGTGGCACGTGATACACTTCAACCCAGTACACATTCACGTGGCACGTGATACACTTCAACCCAGTACACTCACCCAGTACACTTCAACCCAGTACACATTCACGTGGCACGTGATACACTTCAACCCAGTACACATTCACGTGGCACGTGATACACTTCAACCCAGTACACATTCACGTGGCACGTGATACACTTCAACCCAGTACACTCACCCAGTACACTTCAACCCAGTACACATTCACGTGGCACGTGATACACTTCAACCCAGTACACATTCACGTGGCACGTGATACACTTCAACCCAGTACACTCACGTGGCACGTGATACACTTCAACCCAGTACACTCACGTGGCACGTGATACACTTCAACCCAGTACACTCACGTGGCACGTGATACACTTCAACCCAGTACACATTCAGGTGGCACGTGATACACTTCAACCCAGTACACATTCACGTGGCACGTGATACACTTCAACCCAGTACACATTCACGTGGCACGTGATACACTTCAACCCAGTACACATTCACGTGGCACGTGATACACTTCAACCCAGTACACTCACGTGGCACGTGATACACTTCAACCCAGTACACTCACGTGGCACGTGATACACTTCAACCCAGTACACTCACGTGGCACGTGATACACTTCAACCCAGTACACATTCAGGTGGCACGTGATACACTTCAACCCAGTACACATTCACGTGGCACGTGATACACTTCAACCCAGTACACTCACCCAGTACACATTCACGTGGCACGTGATACACTTCAACCCAGTACACTCACGTGGCACGTGATACACTTCAACTCAGTACACTCACCCAAGTACACTTCAACCCAGTACACATTCACGTGGCACGTGATACACTTCAACCCAGTACACATTCACGTGGCACGTGATACACTTCAACCCAGTACACATTCACGTGGCACGTGATACACTTCAACCCAGTACACTCACCCAGTACACTTCAACCCAGTACACTCACGTGGCACGTGATACACTTCAACCCAGTACACTCACCCAGTACACATTCACGTGGCACGTGATACACTTCAACCCAGTACACTCACCCAGTACACTCACCCAGTACACTCACGTGGCACGTGATACACTTCAACCCAGTACACTCACCCAGTACACTCACCCAGTACACTGCAACTCGGTACACTTACGTGGCACGCAATACACTTCTACACCAACTCGTAATTTTTACCGCAAGTATATAAAACTTGACCGACTGCATGAGTAACGCAGCGACAAGTAACCAGCTAAGTTTCCCGTCCGCTCGGTGCATGCAACCGACGCTGCGACAATTTACTTCATCTGTTATTTTAATCGTCACTGTAAAAAAATATATATAGCAAGTCATTACCTGTACCCTCATCCATGGAATTATTTTAAGTAAACTTTTTCTAAATTAATAACGATAATGCTGCTTCTTAACCAGAAAGCCTCATCGAGTCTCAGGATATTTCAGGGCAGGGAGATGTTTTGGCAAATCCATCAGTGATAGTTTGGCTTAATGTGGGAATAAACTGGAGAAAACGCACCAGGCATGGGAGAGGTGACAAAGCACTGCCATCTCCTGGCCACAAAACAGATCCCCCGTAAAACCTTCACCGACTGCAGGGACAAGGGCTTTGATAAAGGTTTCTTGAGTTAGATCGCATAAATATAAATGCGTCGTTAATATTCATGCAATCTAACCCAAAAAAAACTTGAATAATGGATAATATTGGTCGCGAAAGCCGGCGTATTAAAGGGACAAGTGCTGTTAGCGAGCACCTATGAAGGCCGCCACGGCACATTGAGGGGGTGGGTGGCCAGCACCACACCTGGCCTTCTCTTGTCTCCCCAGTGGCGATGTTTACACACACCACACCAGGTAGTCATTTGAGGCCGAATCGACCTAGGGGAGGCCCAGGAACGGTTCAGATAATTGTCATTGGTGTTGGCGGCCGTGAGTGGGAATCGAATTCATGTCGCCGGGTTCGTAGCGCAGCGTGCTCACCACGGCGCCACCGCTCCCTGGCCACACCTCACAGCCCCACTCCAACAGCACCTGGGCAGCCTCAGGCCCTGGGTCACCCATCCAGGTGCTAACCAGGCTCAGTCATGCTCGTCTTCTGAGATCCGATGAGTACAGAGGAGTGGTTTTCGGTTGTGGGCACGTTAACCCTTTCACGTCTGCAAGTTGTAGGGTGGGTGTCCCGTTCACCGCTGAATCCCGGAACGGGAAAGCGGCTGGGTACTAATTTTATTTGGAGAGGCGTGGCGCCGCGGAGAACTGTAGCGACACGACCGCATGGCCTTTTGCTTCCGGGTCCATTCCGATGACGTAAACATACGTATGCGTATGTCGTCGGAACGGGATCGAAAGTAAAATTGGAAAAGGAGCTTAGGTTTACAACTCGGTGTAGCGAGACCGGGACTCGATGGCACGATCCCTGGCAATCACCGCGTGCCACCGTTTGTGCTCTACGACGGCGACGGTGGCCACGAATGTGGCAAAGGGGGAGGGGGGAGATGGGCGCTGCTCACACTCGGAGAGCGGGATGGAGATGATGACGCCGTTGCCCGTGCCCACCCACAGCCGGGTGCAGGAAATGAGCAGCGACGTGATGCGGATGAAGGAGAACCCCAGCGATCCGGTGCCTGGAGCACACGCGCACACACACACACGAGCATGCGCGCGCACATGGGCACTCGCACGAACACTCACTCGCACTCGCACGGGCACTCACACTTACACGGGCACTCCAACGAGCTCTCAACTCAACTGTAAACGCAGCTGCACGCGTACAATTCTGATTCTGAAAGATTCTTGCTGGCCGGAGAGACGCGGTGCGTGCGTCAGGAGCTGGGCGACGCAGCACGCACCAGCCCCGTACGGAGGTGTGCCGCACCGCGCCGTGAATGCGCGGCGTACCCAGCATCTTGCTGACGTAGGGCTCAATGTCGATGTCTTGCAGGTGCTGGTGCGTGTGCGCGTGGTACAGCCGCAGCGTGGAGTCCAGGCGGATGGACACCCACACGCCGTCGCCCACCCACGCCAGCTGTCGCACCTGGCTTTCCTTGCGCGGGTGGGCGTCAAAAGATTTCTGCAAACAAATGGGCAACGCACGTGGAGGGGGGGGGGGGGTGGGTGGGTGGGAAAAAAAACATCGCCGTTTAGCCCCGAAGACCACCAGCGAGCCGGTCCTCTTCCCGTCTAACTCTGTCTTCTCTACGCCTCTCTGCCTGTCCTTGCATATTCAAACAAATATTCTTATACAGTATATACGGATACCCTCCCTTGTTCCACGTGATCAGGTGGTCGGCAATCTGCGGCTCGTTAGGGACTGTGCTTCGTGACAATTATTTACTAAGCACCGCCGTCTCGTATTCGCCGCAGCACACTGCGGCTCTTGAAATATTTCGCTTTTTACCGAATTCGAAAAAAATGGCTCCGCTTCTTACTTTGGTTTTGCCGACCACTGCACACGATGAGCATGTCCCACTGTTCTGTAGAATGCTTTGAGATAGCAGTTGTGTATAATCTCGATGAATCCATTTTGTGATGTAACGCCAGACTAGTACGGAAACATCGAAAGGTGGCGGAGACCTGCGGGCACCCTTGGGCAGTCTTCGTCTCAACAGTTGTGGGCGTGAAATTTTAAGCCGAATTGACCTGGGGGAGTTCCAAATTATTGAATGTGACCAGAAATCAAATCTACTCTGAGGATCTTCGAACAATGCTTTAACCACAACCAAAAACAACTGTTCATGATTGATGATCTGCTTTGCATGAGGATGCAAGCAATACTATTTAAACAATTTTTTTTATTTTGCCAGGTAAGACTCACTGAGCTATGTAGCTCTTTTTCAGAATCGACCTGGCCACAAATGACACCTCAACGAAGTGGCTTATCACGTGCAAATCTATAGCAGCCACATACACAAAATGCATGCCGATTCTAAATGTGGAGGGAAAAACCACACAACGATGGGGGGAGAGTAATGCAAACTCCAAATATACAGCAGGCATCAGGGTCGGGATCAAACCCACGACCTCCTGTATATCAGGCGAGGCAGTCAACATCTCGCCACTGCGGCGCCCCCAATAAACAAGTCGGTACCAATTTACTTAAACACCAACGCAAACCCGACCTACCCAAAGTGGTGGTATCGGTGGTACAATTCTATTCTGGAATATACATATATATTTTACAACTCTGATGAGCGAAGCGCGTCTCTCGTGGCCGCACGTGTGACGTGCCCCAATAACGTACGACACACACGAGCCAAAAACAACTGATTTGTTCAAACCAAAACACGATGCACGGATCGTAAGAATCGATGCATGGTCGTCATCATCATTGTCATTGTGATCTTGCATTCTTTACACCGCAATTCTCACGTGGCACGTCTTGAAGTGCCGCAGCAAAGGTGCGTTTGAGTTTAATCACCGAGTAAGAAAGCGATTGCAGACCAAACACAGTGTTCCAGGAAGAACGCAGTAATGTAATGTAACGTAAATAGTCATTTAAGAAACGCTAAATCAAGCTAAGAGCATCTCAAATGCGCTTTGCAGTCTCGTCATGCTGTGTTCATTAAATACATTCAAGGTCTCTCTTCAAGTGCTTGAGTTGGCCGGGTGGAAAATTCGGGTAGAGATTTTCCCACATTCTCAAAAGCGCGGTCACCAGGCGTCTCTAGGCGGGGTTCGTGTAACAACGGCGACATCACCGCGAGCAGCAGACCTGAGGTGCCGTCGTTTCCAATCGTTGGCGACAGGCGCGCATAGCTTCGACATTTAACGGTGGTGCCATACCGTGTAGGCACTTCTATACGGTCAGACAGAGCCTGTACTTTACACGCTGTGGAACCGGAAGCCAATGAAGGTCTTCACGCACGAGCTTCCAGACTCCACGATCATGTCCGTCAGAGCAGACAACACTCGCGTCAAAACGAGAGAACGCGATCGAACTGCTACAGAGTTGCGCGCCGACTAAGAAAATCACTCCCCCCACCCCCCCCCAGCCACCCCGAGAGGACCGCCCTCTAACCTCGATGCGCAACGTCTTGGGCTGGATTATGTGGATCTTGTTGCGGTATCCACACCACACGGTGTCATGCACCACCGCCATGCAGCGGATAGAGAAGTGGGGCCGCCCAAGGTCCAGCAGGTGGTAGTTGCTCAGGTCCCACTGGCCGTCTGGCGACAAAAAGACAAAGACCCCCCACCCACCATGTAACCTTAACAGACTGTTGGGGCAAGTGCTGTTTGCGAGTAGCACCTGTGAAGGCCGGAACGGCACCACGCCCGACCGCCTTCGTCTCCCCAGTGGCAATGTTTACTGCACACTGCACCAGGTACTCATTTGAGGCCGAGTCGACATAGGGGAGTCCAGGACCGGTTCAGATAATCAGATAATCGTCACTGGTGTTGGCAGTGAGAATCAAACTCGGGTCGCCAGGTTCATAGTGCGGCGCGCGCTAACCGCTACACGACCGCTCCCCGCACAAAGACGAACACACACACAGATCCCCCGTGTGGCCTTTCACAGGTGTCACTGGTGTTGGCCGTAAGCGGGAATCGAACCCGGATCACCGGGTTCGTAGCACAGAGCGCTAGCCATTACGCTCCTGTCTGTGACAACGTGCCAATGTGCAGAAAAAAGAAGTTTTTAATCAGCCGCAACTTAAAGATCATGGACGGTGACAAAGACACATTTTGATTTAAAGCTTTCGTGAGTGCAGTAATTCATATTCTTAGCTCTTTCGGTAAAGTCACGTTTTATGTGTATTTTATTGTTTCCCTTCAACGTGACTTTACCGAAAAAGCTAAGAATAAGGTGACAAAGACAATTTAAACAAAAGTTGAACAGCGCATAAAGTTGCGTGAAGAGGTGCATGCTTGGAAAAAATATTGCAAGGCAGGAAGGGGAACACAGGGATAGGAGAACACGCGCAGGTGAGAAACGTCACCTTAACACAGTTCGGAGAAGCAAGTGGGATGGGGTAGGACACGTCACTCGAGAGGATGACACCCACTGGTCGAGTCTCACGGTGGAGCGGTAGACAAATGGAGGGAACGCGCCCGGGATGATGTTCAGTGCAGAGATGGGAGCGGTGAAATTCAGCTTGTGTGCAGGCGCTAAATGGATTGTTGAGTCACAAGACCATGATTTATCATGATTTATCATGGTCTTGTGGATTTATAATGGCTGATTGTGATGAGGATGGCGATCAATTTAGAGCAGTGTTCTTCATTGCAAGGCCCACGGGCCACTGACGGCCCCTGACGTACGGCCCCCCACAACACACAAATGTGAACACACCTCATCATCGTGCTGCTGTCAGACCCCAATGATATTAAAACGTGTGGCGGCCCTCACCAGCCAAAGTCGCCCCCCTCTAAAAATCAGTGAAGAACACCGATCTAAAGTTTCAGTTTACCCCTTGTATACTAAACTTGTATTCAGGTTCTTCAGTCCCCCACCCACACATACAACTCGAGGGATTCACCGACCGCACTGGGACAGAGGGACACGAAAAACAAAACTGCGGTGTCTCTGTGAGGTTTCCCTCTACGGATGAAGAGAACGAACGAGGAACTGTAGGAAGGAGGCACCTTCTGCTCGGTGGAAAATAGCCATCGTCCCATCCGCCAGGGCGACCAGGACCCTGCCTTTGATGTGCCTGGAAAACAATGCGGAAACACCGTCAAGGGATTTGGACTCATGGGAGCAAGCCGTAGGCTTCTATAAGCAAGTGTTTTCCATGCCGCAAATCGTACTTTTTTTTATTGACACCCTGGACTAAAAATAGTAGCAGCCACCTCAATAACAGCTCCGTTGCTCTAATGTATTTTTGTCGTTGTTGTGAATTCACATTTAGCGCTCTAGGCTTTTAAGCTCTCAAAAATTTATATTTATATTCCAAATACGGCATTAGCCGAGCAGTGTAAACCAACAACAAACTAAGCACAGGATTCTCCATGTAAAATGTGGGTAACTTTTCATACACTCAATCGTTTCAAGAAAAATAGTTTAGTTCAAGTGCCACGAAAGAGTTTGTGGTTCCAGCTCGTGTCCGGCATCGCGTCAGGTGACCCACGGGTCACGCACACAACCGGTCGGAGCCAATTCGTTTATACAGCTTGCCGTTCGGGCGCGGGTCGGACGTGACGTGGACGTTACGCGGACGTTGACGCGATGAACGTGGACCTGACCGGCATGTGAAAACAACATCGGCTCCGACCCGCTTGTTGGGTCACATGCGCTTAATTACCCGACCGGATGCAGCAGTCGTTCACAACCATCCTTGACATGCCACACAGCAGCCCCATAGATATTGACATTGGAAAAGCCACTCTGTCTGAAAGCAACACGACCTTGTAACACAAAAGGTCTCGAACTGTCACAGCCTCAAGTCGGTTCTCTGCTGTCACCCCCTCGGTGTGGAACTCTCTAATCCCTTTGCATAACTGCAACATCAAATGCACTCTGACTTTTCCGAAACATTTAAAATAATATGTTTGGTCAGTCTTTCGAGCAGCCTCGAGCTTGGGGCTCCGCGCCTCCGAATTGTTGACTTGTATCGAAAATTTGGCGCGTTATAAAATGTCATCATTATTATTAAAAGGGTACAAAACATTTGAGAACCGACCGCGAGCATTCTTACACGATGCACAGCACGGAGTCTTTGAGCTTGATGGAGTGCAGACACTTCCTCCACTGAGCCACGGAGGAGTGCACGTACAGGCTGCAACACAAAGGGGAGAGAGAGTCGCTTCGGAGGTGCGCGCGTAACGTCGCAACGGCAACCGCACTAAAAGAAGAACAGCCGGGTGCACAACCCTCTCCAAATTTCCAAACGCCGCGCAAATTTCTGTCCGGCAAAACCATTGCACGGCATCTGAGTGAGCGCCGACTTTGCCAGCATTCCTGGTAAAAAGTCAATCACCTTCGGCTGTGGAAATCTGATCCGGAAAGACAGAAGGTCGATTGACTTCGAGATATTTTTTTTTTTTACGTGGAGGTAATAGAATGAAAGCCGATTTATTTAATATCACAACTGCCGTTCATCTCTTAACAGCGCGTTTTACTTTGACGCAAATCCTGTCCCGTATATCGTGACCCCCTTCCCCCGAAAATCCTGACAATTAATCGAATCTCTCGAACGGTCAAATCGGTCCGAGTCTTGTTTCATCTTCCAGTTAACCGACATAAGGCGAGCGCATTAATTGGCGGCAGGTCATCGTCACGGGCGATGAGGAAGGACTTGAACTGCTGCCGCTGTAATACGATAAAATCGGACACCCCACGAAATCACCGATCAGAGATTGGCCCATATATGGTGGGAAGTAGGCGTGGTGTTACCGGAAGGGACGTGTCTTTGCCCAAATATGGCTACTGTGGCTGGTGAATCGAGGTTAATTGTATCGATTCCGCTCAGTCGATCCAGCAGTCGCTCAGAGTTGATCCGGCAGCCACCTTGAAAACGTCCATTCATTGGCAATGTATTCCATTGCCAAGCGATTCTTGGATCGCGTAGTCATGTGACACGCCCCCCCCTTCAGTTGATTAGCTATCAGCAAGATCGGCGATTCCATTGCAGTCCACTTTTATTGTACTACAGCACCACGAAGGAACCGCACACACACGACCCCGCGAGTGCGTGCGTGCGTGCGTGCGTGCCGTGACACACTCACAATCCATTCTGCGCGCCCAGCCACATGGTGGGAAGGATGCTGCTCATCTTCCCCGCCTCCTCGTGCATGAGGTCCGTGTCGACGGCCCGCATGGACACGCCATCCCGCACCACGTCCGGGTCCCTGGGCACGCAACGACCGCGACAGCGACGCGATGGTCACGAACGCCCGCACCGCTCCATCGCCCGCACCGCTCCAACGCCGTGACACCGCCGTGACACCAACCGCTTCACCGACGCTCGCGCGCTATGCTGTCACGACGACAATCGATCGACACGCTAACGTCTGCGCGCGAGAACAGGCTCGTAGAACGGAGGCCGACAATAAACCCCGCTGCCCTGCATCAAAGCAAAAGCATGAAGATGCCAGATTCACGGACGCAGTTGATAATAACGATAGCATAGTGGGCTCCGCAAGCAGTGGAGGGGCGGCCTGTTTAGCGGGGTGGGAGTGGGCGCCACAAGATGTTTTCAGACAATGAATGAGGAGTTCTGTTAAATCATACATTTGGGATGAAAGCGGAGCACCAAGAGAAAGCCCACGTGTGCGAGGGGGCAACACTCCATCCCCCTACACTCGCTCTTCTGCCTTCTCCTGGCGAGTCGGGGTATGGAACCTCCTGGACACCCATGGAAAGGAGTTTCACAACATCTGTGCGGTGGTCCACGAACCCTCGCTGCTGCCTCCACAGCGCTCGATCACAGGCCACGTGCTCATAGCCACCACCGCCTGGTTAAGATGTGAATCTCGCCTTTAATGTTCAACGCGCTACAAAAGTTTACTCAGACCTTCCCCACGCAAGAGCCCAGGAACCCTCATGGGCTGGAGACACGCGCCTCACCTGGGCTCGAGCTGAGGCTTCTCATGCAGGGGGTCGGTGAAGACGTGCTCGGTGAAGGCGGCCGGAGCGGCGGAGTGCTTCCCGTTCGACGCACGGCCCCCTCCCTCCGGGCCTCCCTCCCCAGGGCTCTCGAGGGCCTCAGTGGCCTCCTCCGTCGAGGGTTCCTCCTGCTCGTTCTCCCCCAGAAGGGGGTGGCTTCCTCCCGCTGAAAAACGAGACGCTCTCTCGCATCGTGCGCAGCGGCGGACGCTCGCGAGAGCGGCGGCAGAAACGATAATGGGGGGAGGGGGGGGGAATGGCAGCTGTGGCTGAGCACTGGGATGGGAGAGGCCGAGATCGCGGGAATGTACATCCAACACGAAAATCATGCAAGTGGAATAAACACAAATGTATGTATGCACGTTCAACTTCTTTCGCGCCGTACTTGGCCAAAGGCGCCAACGCTACACCGCGCAATATGGCCTGATGAGATCGGATGCATTCTTGATGATTTGGTATCCGATGCACCGACTGTCATTGTAAGGGGCCTTTCTTCACCGGAGGGGGTTCTAGAGGGCGCACACTGGCCGACTCTTCCACGCCGGCCGGAAGAGTGAGACCACCCACCGCTTACCCCACCACACGCAGGCTACCACACTGCCGGGTGGGACAGAGGCGGCGCGCGTGGGAGCGGCGGGGAGGGATTGAAGGAACTTGCAACCGTCCTTCCAAATGCCGCACCAGGAGACGGGGAGGCCGACCTTCTGGATCCCCGGCAGGCGCAAGCCGCTACCCCGCGGGTTGGCGAATCTCTCAACCTACGACGATGACGACGACGAAGAAAGCGCCTACCCAAAAAAACAAAAAAACGACCACACGCACAAACCTGGCCTGAGCTGCGGGGTGGGACTACTGGCGCCTGAAGAGAGGCGGCCGGATGGTTCGCCGCCGGCGCAGGTCGTGGTGCAGTCGACGAGCACGAGGCCCCCCAGCGCCGCCGGCCCGTCCGCGACGTCGCCGGCGGTGGCGCTAGGGATAGCGGCGGCGGCGCCGCCGCCGCAGGGAGCCCGCGGGCTCAGGCTCGCGTCCACCTGGATCTCTTCCCCAGCGGGGTAGTCTGTCTCTCGGGCGCCTGCGAGTTGGTTTTGAAAACGCAGACTGTTTTTAGGCGAAGTCTGGCCGAGCTGAAGCGGGTCGGGTGAAAACATTCACGCAATTGCTCCGTCCCCTGGCTGTCCGTCTGTATGTAATGGGGGCGCTTGATAATTCCCGTTAAGGTGATCCCATGTGAATGAGGCTAGAGAATGAAGCTGCGTTGCTATCAGGGAGTTACGTGACTATAACTGCCACATCAACCAAGAGGGGTGCTCAAAACGTGGAAACATAATCCGGAGCGAACAGACCTGACGACTGGCCCCGTTGGGTGCTAGGCCAAGGGGAAGTGCGATGGGCATGAGCAGGCACGTAGCGTCCCGCGTCAGAGCTCCTGTTCTGCGCTACGTTCCGTGCCCCGACGGAAATGGCTACGAGCTACGAATATCCATCGGTGGACGGCGGCATCGATGACAAATTAAATACTTCCGACGGCAAACGCATGGAGGAAGGCGTAACATGATCCATGCGTATGCCTGTTTTTTCCTCGTGTAACACGGCTCGCAAGTCTCCCCGGTATTTGAGCTGGTCAAGTACAGCAAGCTCAAGTGGCCCAATACGTGATGCTGTTTTTAGCTACGGCTGTCCCTAATAATTGCTCGAATTTCTTCACACCGAAATTAATAAATACAATAAAATGTGCAAATTAGCTTCCGATTTCTTGTAAATTGTACTTTTGTTAAATGTTTGCATTCGAAATTTCAACCTAATTATATCCGCTCCCAGAGATGAAACCCAGTCAGTGTATTCTGCGGTGCCCCATGTGATGACACACAGCACAAGGGCGGTGGTGATAAGTACTGGGCGCAAGGCGGAGATGGCAAAGCGCAATGCGGTGAAGAGCGAGACACGGCGGACAGCGTGACAGTAACAAGAACCACGGCACAGAAAACACAGGGCGAGGAATATCCCCGCCCACCCCCTCCCCCTTTGTCCACTTGCACATCCGAGCCGTGCCAGGACTGGGGGCCACCACGGCACAAGGGTTGTTTTTCACCGATATTTTATCGAATCGAGCACGGAACCTAGCCGTGCTTCACTTGGCTCAGGGGCAAGCCGTGCTCGGGGCGAGGCTGATGACAGCGTGCAATGCGCCCGGTGTTGTTCAGCAAGTATGTATGTATACGTACAAGTACGTGTGTGTATACATAAGTACTTACACGCACACATACGTACTGACGTAGCCTCTTTAACACAGCGGCGGCACGGCATCACCTGCACCCCTGCCTAGATCGCGCATTGCGTGCGACGTGTCGTCAACATGGCACGGCTAGTGCAGTGGAAAAGCAACCCCCCACCCCCCACCCCCCACCCCCCCCCCGCGCTTCCTGACTGCGCTGGCTCGGCCACGACTCGCGTGTGCAAGTGGTGGGGGGGGGTGTAAAAGCTAAAAGGATGGAAGCGACCAGCTTCGGGTTGGCCGCGCGTACCGGGCACGCTCGCGATGCACAGGATGTGCGAGCTGCACACGGCGAACTGCTCGAGGATTCGGTCGGGCTGGTTGGCGTCGCGGACGAGCACGTGGCTCGCACTGGACGTGCTTGTGCACACCCACACGAGGCTCGACAGCTCGTCCACCTGCCGCAGCTCCCTCTGATGCTTCTGCGAAGGAGAGGTCTCGCATTCGTGCCGGACTCTTCTGCGCGCAAATTCATTTTAACACGCGCGCGCGTATGCACAAGTACACGAAGCTGCCATTGTCGTCGTCGTCGTCAGACATGATCAATCTGCTGCTGGATGAAGCCATCCCCAAGCCATCGTCAGCTCTCATGGTACTGCGATGTGACGGTTCATCTACCACCTTTGCATGAGCCGATTTCATCGCTCCATCTCCATGGGGAACAAACTCTACGGTTTACACCATTGGAACCTCCTTTTTGCCAGTAGCAAAATATTATAATTGTTTTTTTACCCTTTTATCTGGCAACAACACTGACACCTTTTTTACAAGGAGTCATGTTTGCATTGACCACAATACCTGCGGTCGGAATGCAAACAAAAAACATAACTCTGATAATGTATGCACTGTCCTTGAAATTAATTGGTCCACACCCGAGACAGCTTTCCTTAGAGCCAAAAGGCGTCATCTGGTCCAACACCAAAAGGCGTCATCTGGTCCAACACCAAAAGGCGTCATCTGGTCCAACAGCATGTGAGACTAGGCCTCGCTGATTCCTATTGCTCAACTGGGATATAAGTATGATGAAAAATAAGTCTTTGCTTTACCCTTTCTAGAAATAAAACAGGTGTTAAGATTTTGATTTAAAGCTTTCGTGACTGCAGTGATTCAAATTCTTGGTTCTTTCAGTAAAGTCACGTTGAAGGGAAACAATAAAATAATAAAATATAAAAATGCATCAACCACAAACACTTGCGGCAATAACATGCTCTGATAATGTATGCACTGTCTTTGAAACTGATTTGGCTTACACCAAACAGCCTTCTGGATGGCTGTCTCACCGGTGTTAGACCAGATACTGCCAAAAGGCAAACAGCTCAAAGGCAATGCAAGTGTGAAAGTATTAATTGCTTGGATTGAGCAGTTATATCTACAAGACATTTTTTTCCCCGTATCAAGATATACGGTAACCAACTGAACATCTACTTAACATTCCTCTGTGAATCTCAGAGATGGGCTCGAACCTGCAGCTCCTGGTCCAGGGTGCCCCACGGCTACCCTGGTCGGCCACGTACGGCCTTCGCTGCGCGAGATTCCTCTAGCGTGAGATTCCTCTAGCTCAACTGGGATCGACCAAACATCGACAAAACATACCCCCCCCCCCCCCCGTTAAAGCTCACGGACACAGACACCCAACCTGCAGCTCCTGGTCCAGGAGCTCGAGGCTGCTCGGCGAGGCCGGCGGGGAGCTCTCAACGAGCTCGCCGCTCGGTGCCTCCGCCGCGTGGCTGTAGAAGACGCTGGCGCCCACGATGGAGCCGCCGTCGCGGGTGCGGCCGCCCGACAGGTTCACTCCCGCCGCGCACCACAGCTGGTGAGAAAGCGCAACCACTCGTAGCCGTCATCGTTGTCGAGCATTTCCCCCCCCCGGCAATTATCGCCAACCAGCAGCGCACCACAATCCTACAGTCGCTGTCAGCAGTGTGTAATCAGTCACCGCGATTTCATCAATGTCCTCGTCCAATCATTGTCAACTATGTGACGTCAATTGTTGATATTTCTCATCCATAACTCAGCTCATGGCCTACTTCTAAACCCAATCCGCACAAACCATGGCATATGCGGATACCTGATGCACAAATGGAAAATTTAAAACTCTCCAGTGGGCGACTGTGGTCAATCCAGAACAGACTGTACAACATATAACGACGCAGTGCCAGATCCACAAATACAAAGGAGACATCACAGCGATACACTGTACTGCTCCTGACACCGTTATCTGTCTGGATCACCTGAAAGTGAAATACAGTTATTGCTCTGCATCTACATCAGCCACACGAAAGAAGATGAAGAAGATCCATAACGTATCCTCTTTAATTATCAAGTCAAACAATTAGAATTTACATAAGCAATGGAGGCGATGATTCATATTTGATATTTGGGGTCAGATGACACGACTGAAATGCGTGTTGAACGCCCTCCTCCTCCACTCGACACGACCACAGAATAAAGTTCCCACGTGACCAACGTGCCAGTTTCTTGCTGCTTCATCACACACCGCTGCGTTGGAGAGCAATCGACAACATTTAACGATTGAGTAGGGGACCAACAAGATCAGTGAGTAGTGAGAACTGCACGATGATGACGGTTGTAACTACCAGTGAGCTCACTCGCGACGGTGGCTGTGGATCGCTCTCCGGCGCACGGGGTGGTGCTGCTGAAGAAGCAGTCACAAATCGAGACGTTTGTTCATCACGTGTTTAGACGGTCACCGCATTGCGCGCTTTCAGAAGCATTTCTGCGGCCGTCTGGAACGCTCTTCCTCCCGATATTAGGAAGCCGCTGGGAGCTATGCACTTTTAAGTAATGTGGATTGAAAACTTATTTCTTTAGAACTGCCTTTTGTGTTTAGTTTGGTGTCCTTCCCTGCACCTCCAATTAGCACGATTGGCTACATATTGCGCAAAGGAAGTTCAACATACATATATACATGACAATTTTATTAATTGGCTGTGTTGGGTGGAGGAGAGTGTATTAACACGATCTGGTGCAAAAAAAATAATTATGAATCATAATATTGGTCGCAAAGCCTACGTTTTAAACAGTGCCTATGTATTACAACTTTCTACAAAATGAAATTACATATAAATTATAAATATACAATTTCTGGCTGCCCTGAGATAGTTTGATAACTCAATATTTTTGTGCCAGGGATCAGTCTCTCTATGGGACAATCATTGTTTACTTCCCACCAAAGTAGTGGTAATTTTATTTGACTCCAGAAAGACGTGAGAATCAGTCAACGCTGGCCGGGATCTGAACTTGTGATCTTTTAACTGAGGGCGCGTGCTCCTTAAACCTCGAAGGATAAAGACACACTCTCAAGGCCACCGTATGACGGAACAGTGTGACGCGGCCTCGCGACGGGGCCTCGCGACGGGGCCTAGCCACGAGGCCTCGCGACGAGGCCTCGCGACGAGGCCTCGCGACGAGACCTCGCGACGAGACCTCGCGACGAGACCTCGCGACGCGGCCTAGCGACGCGGCCTAGCGACGAGGCCTCGCGACGCGGCCTCGCGACGGGGCCTAGCCACGAGGCCTCGCGACGAGACCTCGCGACGGGACCTCGCGACGGGGCCTAGCGACGGGGCCTCGCGACGCGGCCTAGCGACGCGGCCTCGCGACGGGGCCTCGCGACGCGGCCTAGCCACGAGGCCTCGCGACGAGGCCTCGCGACGGGGCCTAGCGACGGGGCCTAGCGACGCGGTTTCGCGACGGGGCCTCGCGACGGGGCCTCGCGACGGGGCCTCGCGACGGGGCCTCGCGACGGGGCCTCGCGACGGGGCCTCGCGACGCGGCCACGCGACGAGACCTCGCGACGAGGCCTCGCGACGAGGCCTCGCGACGAGGCCTCGCGACGAGACCTCGCGACGGGACTTCGCGACGGGGCCTAGCGATGCGGCCTCGCAACGGGGCCTCGCGACGGGGCCTCGCGACGCGGCCTAGCCCTCGCGACAAGACCTCGCGACGAGACCTCGCGACGGGGCCTAGCGACGGGGCCTAGCGACGGGGCCTAGCGACGAGGCCTCGCGACGGGGCCTCGCGACGGGGCCTAGCGACGAGGCCTCGCGACGAGGCCTCGCGACGAGGCCTCGCGACGAGGCCTCGCGACGAGACCTCGCAACGGGGCCTAGCGACGCGGCCTAGCGACGGGGCCTCGTGACGCGGCCACGCGACGAGACCTCGCGACGAGGCCTCGCGACTAGGCCTCGCGACGAGACCTCGCGACGGGACCTAGCGACGGGGCCTCGCGACTTGGCCTTGCGACGGGGCCTCGCGACGGGGCCTCGCGACGGGACCTCGCGACGAGGCCGTGTTGTTCACCTTCATGGTGGGCTCCTGCTCGTGGAGAGGCCGGCAATACACAGGCACCGGGAGCTGCTTCACCTTTTCCTCGTCCAGCTGAGATGCACTGCTCTTCTGTCGCACACCACCACCATTAACACCACCCATTCTAGAAATCTGAAGAAAGTAAAACATATATAAGTTAGATTTTTATTTTACATTTTTAAAAGAATACTCAATGGAAAGTTTGTAAATATTTTGTTTCCATATTTGACTGGAGGTGTAATGGCAGACTCTCTAAAAAATATATATGTACATCCCCCTTGGTTCTGTACAGCATCGTGAGATCCGGTGGAATTTGGATTGCTAAATAAAATGGATTATGATACGAAATATCATTTATGGTAATCCAGAGTGTCGAAAAAGACCCACACATCAGAAATGGGGATAAATCCAGATACAAAAATAACTAAGCTTACAATAATACACCTCCCTTCCCATATCTGACCCTTCACATCACAAACCAAAGTTTTTTTAGTTTTTGTTTACAAATCTCATCAGTCGCAGTCTTTTCGGAGTGCGTAATTTCATCAGCATTGGGTTCAACACAAGCAAACTCTGCACAGTGTGTCATCAGCAGTCAAGGTTTGCTTTAGCCAACGCTGGTAACTTCCAGATGTTTATAGGCAAGGACCCTCTCTGTTAGATTCGGATGTCCTAGTTCAACACAAACTTATATGATACAGATACCAACATCTGGGTGGCGGATCGGAGGAACACGAAGTTCATGAGTGGAGGGGGGCGACCGCACCTGTCTGTACTTATTGGGCAGGCTCCAGCCATAAGCCTGGGGCCGTCCATCCTCCTGCTTGACATGAGCACGCACTTGGCGGTACTGCTCTCGCTTCTGCTCTCTCCGTGACGGGGACAGGCTACACACAAAAGACAAAGATCCCCCGTGTAGCCTTAACATACTGTGGGGGGTAAGTGTTGTTATAGCGAGAACTTATAAAGGCAGGCTCGGCACACGCGGGGATGGGTGACCGGCACCACGCCGACCGCCTTTGTCTCCCCAGCGGTGATTATTTTACACACCGCACCGGGTACTCATTTGAGGTTGAGTCGACCTCGGGGAGGCCAGGATCGGTTCGGTTAATCAGATATTCGTCACTGGTGTTGGCAGTGAGAATCAAACTCGGGTCGCCGGGTTCATAGTGCAGCGCGCTAACCGCTACACGACCACTCCCCACACAAAGACAAACACACACACACAGATTCCCCGTGTGGCCTTTCGCAGGATTTTTGGGGGGCAAGCGTCGTTAAGTGAAAGCAATTTGTTGCTCAAAAGAGCTTTAAGGCAGTGCTCATCTCCTGCTTACAGCCCTGAGCCAGAGGTGGAAATTCCACATTCCTACAAAGCGGCATCTACATATTACAACCACTGTATTATCAACTCTGGGAAAGACGATGGGCTGAGTCAACTCCCACAGATAATTTGAACGTGCAACCTTCCGATTGTGAGCTGCTCGCTCTCCCGCTGAGCTACCTGGCTGGTGCTTTTTGCGAGCACCTATAAAGGCCGGCGTTGCGCTCGAGGTGACGGTGTGGGCAAGTACCATGGCAGCTGCCTTTGTCCGCCCCAGTGGTGATGTTTCACACTGTACCCGGTACTCATTTAAGGCCGAGTTGGCCTCGGAAAGGCCAGGGGACAGGTTCAGATATCTGTCACTCGTTTTAACCATCGCCTGGAATCGAACTCAGATGGCCGGGTTCATACGATTGTGCTAAACCACTGCTCCATTAATGGAATTGAGCAACCATTACCAACAACAACAACTCTCTCGAGAAGTGACGAGGCTTTCCAGGGTAATTAAATGCCATCACAATTATAATAACTAATTCAACAGTGCTCCCTCATCGCTAGCGACCGACTTGAGCTAACAGCCATCACTTCCGTTGTGACAGCTTTGAGGCCCAACTCCAAACGACGACAAAACCCACCACACACAACCTTTAATTGCGTGCAGGTTGCAAAACAAATTTAACACATAAAGCTGTCAACAGCAGGAAGGCTGGACTCCCATCCAATATACGTAGCATGCATTATCATGTGACAACCACGTTAGATGTACAATGCTCTCTTGTCTAAGCTGGTGGCGTATATGAGGCTGAGTGGCATTGTGCATGCAATGTGGTGGTCACATGACATGCAGGCAAGGCATGAAGAGAGTCGTGCCTTCCTGCTGTCTGTGAGCACCGTTGTGCGTTGTTAAATCTAGATCTCAGATCTGGTGGAGAAGGGAACCCACGTTTCAAGCACATTGTGTGACCAGAGACCAGGATGAGTCTCATTTGCAAGAGTGACCTGGGGCATCAGTCTGCTGGTGGAAGGCAGCGATTGTTATGCGCAGCCCCAATCGAATCATTTGCAGGTACTTAATTTTTTATAATTGGCGAAAATTTGGACCCTGACGCTGTCACACAATGGCCTACCCTTGCGAATGACGTCACGGGATCTTTAGCGTCAGCTGTGAGAGAACCAGGCAGCGCGCAGCATTATTACTACGGTTACAAACGTCCCTCGCACATTAAGCAGCCCCCCCTCCTTAATCTCCTTCCGTTCCTCTCTTAAAGCCTCAGCTCTTCTTGATTACTCATTCTCTACCCTCCCCTCGCGCCTCCACTCCTTCCCGCCCCTCCCCTACCCGAAGTACCTTCTCAATCGCTGTCACTCGTTACTTAATTCTTGTAGCACACCCCTGTCGTCCAAATCATAATCTACCATGTCACCGTTTTTGTAAGCTACGTCATCGGGCGCATTTAGTGAAGGGGGGCCTCCAAGTAAATAGAAATTAAGCTTACAGCGCGCCCGCAGTTTAATAACCATGGGGCGAGGCCGCCAGATCCGAACGGGGGCCCCAACGACGCCGCCCGCCGCACGCGCTTGACCCTAACTCGTCGTAGAGGAAGTCGAAGGCTCGCGACTTGTCGCCGGGCAGCTGGGCGATGGCCGTGCTCTTGGGGGGCGCGCCAGGAGTGACGTGACTGCTCGGGGCATTGTAACGCAGGTTGGGCTGGGACGTTCTCCTCGTTGCCGTGCCGGAGGGCCCGAACAGGCGGCTGAAGCTGATAAAAAAAAAAAAAGGCGGGCGGGCAAAGTCAGGCAAGGTCAGGCAAGGTCAGGGAAGCTCAGGCAGGCAAGGTCAGGCGCCCGCCGCGGCTGTACGCCGCTCAAAGTCAGCCGGCTGCCCAACAACGCCCTTCGTTGATTACAAACGTGTACAGGGTGGCCCAAAAGTCAGGACACATAGGATCTATTATACAGTAGACTTTCGATTATCTGCATGCGGGTTTATCTGATTTGCGGATTAACCACACACCTGAGATTCTGACATAAATTAAAAACTCATGGATTTTCCATTAAGCCCAAATGAATCATCTAAAAACAATCTTGATTTGAAGCTTCCGTGACTGCAGGAATCCATACTCTTTGGTTCTTTCGGTAAAGTCACGTGGGTAGAAAATAAAATAAATCACAACGTTTCGATCGCAACACAAGCGGTCGTCCTCAGGCGGATAAAATATAATCCAGCAGTTCCACTGCTTGTGTTGCGATCGAAACGTCGTGCGTGATACATTTTATTTTAATCTAAAAATAGTTATACATTGTAATTCTTGGAAATGTTTGTTACAAGTCACGTGCTTATATCGAGCAAATATGTGCGCCCATGAATCCGAAATCTACGTGATCACCTCGACAGTACAGTAGTTGCATATCTTTACAACAGTGGGTGGAGTTTGATTGATGGTGATTGGCGTGGCTCTGCTATCCACTTCGTGGGTGGAGTCTTCTGCACGGGAGCAGGGAAGTGTTTTCTTACCTTACACATAATGTATACCTATAGTAGTGATTTTTGGCATAGAAAATCGAGAGTCAACTGTATTTATTTTAACAAATTACACAGGGTGATTTCATTTCTTCGAACAAATATTCAAACCGACTCCATTAACATGACTGCACACGCTCATTTGCTTTTCCAATGAATTTACGGCTTTTTTTTAATATATATTTACAGCTGTGTAACCATTGAACATTCATCAATGATGTTTTGCGGTCTCAATTCATTCAGGGTTCTCGGTCAAGTTTTGTAAACGACGGATTTGAGGTGACCCCACAGGAAGAAGAATCATATATGAATAACGAAAATAAATAAAATATTAACTTCACGAATACACTTAAAATGCTATAATGCCATTGGTAAAATAAATGAAATATCCCGATGTGTCCTGACTTTTGGGCCACCCTGTATTAACACGCGTCCATTTTGTGTCTCCAAATACAAAGAAAGCATTCCTCGTAGTCGGCCGATTGCCTGCTGAAAAGCCAATAGGCCGATGTGTGTATATGCTCTATCGTGGGACATGTTTTGCTAGTATCGTACAGGAAAAAAAGGTCCCACAATATATCTGCTCAACCCAAGCGAGAAATGCTCTGATAAGTGCACTGTTTTGTACTGTTCGCGTTTTGGAATTCTCTGGATTTACACTGGTGGTGAGACTAGGCCCTAAATAAGGCTGCCTCTGGTATAGGCCAATCAGTTTCAAGTATGCTTGTTTGCATGTTCACCACAAGTACTTTGTGTGGTTAATGCAGACTTTATTCCTTACAAAAGGGTTCTATTTGGTGTTTGAACACCAAACTATCTATAAGCTATGGCTCATAACACTCCGTAACAGTGCAGAAATAGCTGGCATGCACGATTGATTAAATCAATCATCCACGATTGATTAAAATACAATCAAATGTGTTCTACTACAAGCAGGGATGGTGAGTAAAATGGATCAACAAATTATAGATTTAATCCATCAGACTTTGGCCATTTTTTCTACAAGAATTTGTTCAAATAAAGCCAGCTTGAACCAGGTTTTAGTTGACAGATTAATCAACAAGATGTATCGTTTAACGCTTTTTCATTCTGAGAGATCTGCAAGTTGCAGGGTGGGTCCTGTTCAGCGCTTAATCTCGGAACGCGCAAGTGGTTAGCGTTAATTTTATTTGGAGAGGCATCGCACCGTTATTTTTAAAGACATTGCATACTCATCACAGAGAAATGTAGCGACACGACCGCCACTCTACCATAGCTGGCGCCAAACTGTGCCACACGCTCTCCCGCATGGCCTTGTGGGAGCCTCGGTACCGATAAAGTTATTATTTTGTTTCAGTTTTCTTCCGGCTTCATTTTTAGGAAATAAACGTACGTCACCAGAGTGGAATCGGAAGAAAAACTAATGATGTACACGTACGTCATCGGAACGGGAAAGGGTTACATCACGTTTAGCGTGCACTATTTGACGCTTGCAAGCTGGCCCTGCTTCTAATAAGCCATCACTGATGTAGGACAGCACTCACAATTGCCAGATGGATGACCGAGTCCTCTTCTCTTGGGCGTTCAGCTGCTCCCGTGAGGCCCTGAGTCGACATCACGTTCGGGAACAGAAACATTCCAGTCAAACTCGTCATGTGCTTCTTTGAATGTTAGCTGGCGCTGTCCCAGACATTAGTATAACTATTGCATGAAGTCACGTAGAAGGGAAATAATAAAATAATTAAAATAAAACATAATGAAATAAAATTCTCACGACATTTCGGCCACAACACAAGCAGCCGTCCTCAGGTGAAGAAAGAGAGCTGTCGGAAAGACAGCGCTCCGACAGTTCTGTTTCTTCACCTGAGGACGGCTGCTTGTGTTGTGGCCGAAACGTTGTGAGAATTTTATTTCATTATGTTTTATTTTTATTATTTCCCTTCTACGTGACTTTACCGAAAGAACCAAGAAGATGAATCCATGCAGTCACGAAAGCTTTAAATCGAAATGTAACTATTGCATAAACCACTGGACCACCGTTCCACGAAACTAGCGTTGACAGTGATAAACATGTTTAATACATATTCTTGGTTCTTTCGGTAAAGTCACAAGAACCAAGAATATGAATCCCTGCAGTCGCGAAAGCTTTAAATCGAAATGTTTAGCACACTTTCTAGTCACGATTTGCCACCGTGCACAGCGCGAGCGGCGCACAAGTGGTTTGCATGAAACAAAACGCTGCTCAATTGATAAAAATCGGAAGTTCTGTTGGTTGACACTCACCGCATCGCATGCTTTCAGACGCGCTTCTGTGGCCGTCTGGAACGCTCTTCCTTCCTATATTAGGAAACCACTGGGGGGGCTATGCAATTGTTCAATCATCTGGATTGAAAACGCAGTTTCGTTCTAACTGCTTTTTGTGTTTAGTTTCTTGCCCTTCCCCCGGCACCGCCGGTGAGCACGGTTGGCTGCGTACGTACGGCCAAAAGACGTTCCGACATCCGGACGTACATCAACGTTCACGCTGCATGAGAGTACCCGGGCTGTGGCGGCTCAGCCGACGCCGACGCCGACGCCGACGCGATCGCGGAGCGAGCTAACGAGCAACCGTTCGCCCAGGGGGCGGCTTCCCTCACCGGATCATCTCGGTCCAACGCACGGCCTCCTGCAGCTCCATGAGCCGCTCCTTGTACTGGTTCCGCTCCATGAGCACGCGCGCCATCTCCACCCGCGTGAAGCGCTTGCGCTGGGCCATCGGCATGTCGTTCTGCGACGCACGCAATGCACTCGAGCGCCGGCGCCGGCCACTCGCTCACAAACGCAGGCGACAGGACCGGAATCGCGTCCCCACCTGTCGTGGGGGGTTTTTTCCCCTCTCCCCGGCAGGATTCTTCTCTCTTTTTTTTTTAATTAAAAAATAAAAAGGCGGCGGCGGCTGCTGCTGCTGCCGCCGCCGCCGCCTTTGGAGGTGTGTCAAGTCTTCCTGGGGACTATTGAAGCCCCAGTTTTTGTTAGTTGTAAAGCAATGATAATAATGATAACACTGCTCACTCCAGATAATGCATTCACATTTAGTTGTTCCCTCTTCTACGATTCAGATATATTTAGCTTACCACCATGTTCAATTTGTTTGTACCTCAAAGGTGGCGACCACATGCCCAGATGGTCCCCGTAATAAAACTCATTTCTTTAGAACTCCTTTTTGTGTTTAGTTTGTTGTCCTTTCCCCACACCTCCGATTAGCACGGTTGGCTACGTACGGTGCAAAAGAAGTTAAATTTACATACATAATGAGAAAGACCTTGTAGTCACCATCATCATCATCATGGCAGAGTGTGCAATCTTGTAATTTAGTGATGGAGTTATATTCATGTCTCTACACGGTCACTAAAAGTGCTGTCTCGCCTGGGTAGTTTCTGTAATGGATTTTCCAAAAGCATCTTTCAGCTCTGTATGTATGCATGGAGCACTTCTTTTGCACCGTACGTAGCCAACCGTGCTAAACGGAGGTACTTTAAATTTTTTATTAAAAGCATTATTCAGACAGGCCTAATAGCCAGTCATAACCAAAAACTGAAAATTACTTGCAATAAAAACATTACAATAATGACCATCTTGATAAAGCTACAGTTAATTTGGTCTCCCTTACTATAGGATGAAAACTATTTATTTTGACTGCCAAACAGTCAAAGTACAAAGAGTAAAATTAATTAAGAAAAAAGTACTAACAGATGATAAAAATCAAAGTTGCAACATAACACACACCTACATATTAAGACAAACCTACAAATTAAAACCCGTATGCAAAATATATTATTTCTGATGTAGCTCACCTCATCCAGGTCGTCTTTGTTGGCTTGTTTCACCTGCTCCAGCTCCTGCTTGGTCCTGTAACACACAGAGAGAGAGCAATCCCAGTCGCCCAGACTCAAGTGGCAAGTTGATTTTGTTGAGCCAGATAAAAACTAGAGAATACCATAAATGAGACTCATTTGGGTGAGTGGGTGGGTGAGTAGGTGATTGGGTGGATGAGTGAGTGGGTGGGTGAGTGAGTGGGTGAAATGAATGAGTGGGTGAGCGGATGGGTGGGCGAGCGGGTGGATGGGGTGGGCGAGTGGGTGAAAGGGTGGGAGGGGTGGGTGGGTAGATAAGTAGGTGGGTGGGTGGGTGAGTGGGGAGGTGAGCGGGTGCGTGGGGTGGGTGGGATGGGTGGGGTGGGTGAGTGGGTGAAAGGGTGGGGGGGGGTGGGTGGGTAGATGAGTGGGTGGGTGAGTGAGTGAGCGAGTGAGTGGGGTGGTAGATGGGGGGGTGGGTGACTGCATGAGTGGGTGACTGGATGAGTGGGTGGGTGAATTCAATTTGCAAGTTGATTTTTTTTAGCCAGATAGTTGGACCCTCAAATATACCTCCAGCAGGTTATTGATATAAGAGCGCAATACCAAAGTGAAGATGAGCTTCCGGTCGACCTACGCCATTCACCACAGGGTGGTAACCAGAATGCTGTGTAACCACAGCATTGTCCGGGCTCAAACCTCCTTGGCTTTACAAGATCCGATGAAACCAGGCACATTCTGGGTGATTTGGTCCGAGTCCCTACAATAAACATTCACCTCAATCCCTGTGATACACAACCCCCACTATTTAGTACAGCATCTCGAGATGTATCTGAACGTATTCGCGGTACACCGGTGGTGCGTGGAATTAAAAATACATTTTTTAGCAGCAATTATTTATTTTCCCCACGATACGCAACTCCGGTCAGAAAATCAAGCGGGGTGATGGTCGTGGGGCAAAATCAGTTCTCGTGATTCAAAGCAGTTGGAAGTCGCATATTCTGAGCGGCTGAACCCGAAGCTTCACCGTCTGTTGCCGTAGAGCAGCCCCAAGCCTGGTGACGATTGGCTGGCTCCGTGTTCCAAACGGCAAGAGTTGAGACTCCTCGTGCCCTAGACTTGGTCGGACGGTTCCCTCGATTCAACGGGACCCAAATCAACGGTCACGACTAACCTTTTTTTTAGCAAGTCTCAGGAGACCGAATAAACCTTTGAATCGTGTCAAACGTGCGTCGAGTTTTGATTTTGGGCTGTTCCGTGAGGACCGGTGTGTTACGCTGCACACGCTGCACCACCGACGCGTCCGTTTGCATTCGGCCTTCAACTACGTTGAACTTCTTTTGTTGCCGTACGTAGCCACCCGTGCTAAATCGGAGGTGCACGGTGGGGGCGGCAAGGACAACGAACCAAAAAAACACGCAACAACAACAACAACAACAAAAAAACCACACGCTTTACATGTTGAACTCATCGTCCCCCCTGTCACCTCTTCAGGTCATCCTCGGCCTCCTTGAGACGTCCCTCCAGCCGAGCCCTGCTGGCCTTGAGGGAGCAGAGCTCCCCGAGGAGGGACTCACGCTCGCTGCCCAGCTGCTCCACCTGCGCGATGAGGTCGTTCTTCACCACGTTCAGCGCGTTCCTGGACGGCGCCAGAATCACAATCGCAGTGAGTTGCTCACGCGCTGGGGTGGAGGAGGGGGGAAATCCTGACGGGATATTCAAAGCTCTTTTTTTTTTTTATCCCCAAGGATGTCCAGTAAGGGGGCGCGCGACACGAGAGAGAGAGAGATGCGGGGGAATCCCAGCTGTCCCCCCGGAGCATGGCTGGCACTAGCCGGAATTTGCATTTCAACAGCGCCTCCGATTAGCACGGTAGGTTAGCTGGAATTGTGTATATGTACGTATGATGAAATTCGTTCGCACCGTACGTAGCCACACCGTGAGGTGACCCCCAGCTCCTTCTGCACTGTTACGGAGTGTTATGAGCCATAGCTTATAGAGAGTTTGGTGTTCAAACACCAAATAGAAACCTTTTGTAAGGAATCAAGTCTGCATTCAACCACACACAGTACTTGTGGTGAACATGCAAACAAACATACTGTGATAATTCATGCATTGTCCTCGAAACTGATTTGCCTACACCAGAGACAGCCTTTTTTAGGGCCTAGTCTCTCTCACCACCAGTGTAAAACCAGAGAACGCCAAAGGACAACAAACTAAACACACAAAAGGCAGTTCTAAAAGCAGTACGGTGTGCGAAAGAAGTTCAACATACGTGCATACGAACCGGGTTGGCCAATATATATTTAAAAAACCCAAAACTATAATGTATCATATATTTTACGATGTGTTACCTGACATAACTACACTTGGAGGCTTGCCCCCACTTTTCTCTCTGCCTGATGAAGACCGCTTGTGTCGCGATCGAAACGTCGTGGGTTTTTTGCTTTTGTTACTTTCAACTAATTATTTTAATGTTTTTTTTTTCCTATTAAACGTGACTTCACCAAAAGAACCAAGAATATAACGTATTATAAATGCACGGGAATACGTTTGTGTATAATGCATGATATAGTCAATATAAGTTTAATACGTCTAGTGAGTCACTCAGGGACACTAATAGTAGGAGGCACTCTATTTATTACAGCCTTCACAGGTACAAGGAGTAACTACACTATGGTCAGGACAGCTAACAGGCTGCCTGACCAACGCCGACTTGTTCCACTCCAAATAACAGCCCCGAACCTTGCTCGGGATGCCCCCTTTTATCCACCCAGCGTGGCCTCGCTCCACCATCGGCCACGCCCCCCTTCTAGAACCCACTAGAAGGTTCCCTCACGTGCCCCCTCTATCACCTTTGCCCACATCCCTTTCTCCGGCCTATCACGCGACCTGCTGGCAGACAGGGCTGCTACAACAGCAGATCCCCTTCTCTGCCAGCAACCAGCGCTACGCGCCATGGTGACCCGTTCCATGTCACTACACACGTATTAATGTTAATGTTAGTAATGGGGGAACGGGTGGTGGGGAGGGGTGATCGGGGAGCGGTAGAGGCGGATTTGAGGGCCGACGTATCCTCGGACACAGCGCACTGAACTCGTGCCGTAAGTATTTTTTGTGTTTTTTTGGTCTGCGTAGTGATTTCATCCACATGACACAGACTGATGTATCTATTAAACACATCGGGTTTCTGTTGTTATTGTTGTTGTCTCCCCAGCTAGGCAGAATTCCAGCTCTCTGGACCAGGGCTTTCCCCCCCCCCCCCCGCCCCATCTATCAGCTGCAACAGCAACGAGACCCAAGGCTGCGGTCACACAAAACGTGGAGGTCTGGAGAGCCGCGTGTGCCCCCAATGCAACGCGTGGCCTCACCCAATGATCACTTATGGGTCTACCGCACACAGCAACCAAACTGCAGCACAGTCTTTGCAGATTAAAAGTGTCTTTTGCTGAACACAAATGCCGCCATCACAGCTGCCTTAACAGCGCTCAAAATGAGACCTTTTAGCTCGTCACAAGAGAAGTAATTATGGGATAAAACTATCAAAATGTATACACATAACCCGAGGGCTTAAACCCTGGCTCTCGGTTCAAGTTCACATTGAGACACGCACATAAGCATTTGGGTCCGAGAAAGGACAAAAATAATACCAAGTACAGCCCAAGGTTAATCCAGTACCATGTCTTTAGATAATGAGCATTGTTTGACAATACAGGCAGTCGACGGGTTCCCCAAGTTCCCGAGAACGATCCGTATGTTGGAAACTGAAAAATTTTTCCCCCAAAATCAACGATAAAATCCCAAAGCCGGAAATAGTTGTGCCTCCTCTACCCGATAACGAGTGCGTTTTCTCTCAGTACTGTATCACGCTGTCATCCGTTTCCTATCGCTTCCTGTGTATCGCATCACTGTACATACTCTGCAATTCCTAAGATTATTTAATTTCATCGAACATCTAACCTAACACTACCCATAATGGAACTAATGGAACGTAGACTGTATCCAATTGTTTATGAATACCACGGAACATTTTAATATAAATTGTTAACAGAAAGCAGTCACTTTAGAATGTTCGTTTAAACGTACATTAGGCTAGGCCAAGACTTCTCCGATCGCTTTTGGCTGAGATCATAAGCCATCGAAGTGTAATTGAGTTAAATCAAGTACGTAGAGTAAAAGGCTCGTGAAATAAAACTTGAAACGAAGAAAAATAGCATGAGACATTGGAGAAAAAGTTAATTCCAAGCATATTAAACAAATAATTACGTAATGCTACAAAAGGAAAATAATTACTTAAAGCTACTAAAAATTCCATTTATCCTGAATTCTCGTGAAACTCGGCCTCGGTGAAGGCGGTGTTTTGGTGGAGCACAACCTCACCGTGCTGAACAGCTTGCGCTTACGTAACTAATGCACAAATGTCCGCAGATTGACTTTTTTTTGCTAAGATGATTTATGGGAGCATTTCTGTAAAACCGAATTTCTATAAATCGGGTCTTCTGCAACCCAGGGATTTACTGTACTTCACCAGACTGGTCAGCGCAGGTTGGTGATAGTAAGGCCCAGAACCTGTTCAGATATTACTCACCACTGATACTGGCCCTGATCGGGAATCAATCTCCTGAGTTCCCACATCAAATATGCCAAATGTTGATATCACTATTACTATAAATTATCGATTAATTGGCCGATTGCTATTCGGGGAAGCTTTTTCAGAATATCCCTAGGACGTGGTTTTGAACGCCACATTCCGCACATACTGCATGTACACACACACTGCACGCGCACACACACACTGCACGTACTTTGTTTCCATGAGCTGTGCATTTTCCATTATTAGGTTCTCAACCTCCACCCCGAGACCTGTGAGGGAGGAACGACAGCAAGATTGGAAGGTCATTCAATGGGTGTCACAAGCTTGCTGGATGCATTTAGCAAAGAGGCATCTCTACACAAAGGCTTGCAGGTAGTGAGGGAGTTGTAGTGTAGCGGGTAGCACGCTGCGATACGAACCCGGTGACCTGAGTTCGATACCCGCTCATTGCCAACACCAGTGAATATTATCTGAATGAGTCCTGGGCCTCTCCTAGGTCGACTCAGCCTCAAATTAGTACTTGGTGTGGTGTGTAAAACATCGGCACTGGTGTTGGCCACCCACCCCCTTGTGTGTCGTGTCGGCCTTCATCGGTGCTCGCAAACAGCACTTGCCCCAACAGTCTGTTAAGGCTACACGGGGGATCTTGCAGGTACCACCATCATGATCATCAGGAATTTTATGGATAATTCCCAGGCTGTAAAACAATCTAATTTTTTTTAAAATAATAATTTCTGCATCCCCATTAAAATTAATGGGACTTTTTGACAGGCTAAGGAGAGTGCAAAAAGACTCCAATTTATTTGAATGGATATGAAAAAGTCCGCATTGAAATTAATGAGGCACCTACGAAAAATTTCCAGCCCTGGTTTTGTGGCAGTCGAGCAGCACTCGGATTGAGCCGAGCAGCGTTGCCATTCTCTTGGCTGAGTAACTCCCAAAGCTGCCTGGCTTACGGATGATAAATAGCTGACTCCCACACACCGCTCCGAACATTGGCACCCCTCGCCGCCTCCGTTCCAGTTCAAACTCAAGACCCAGCTGTTCTCCACCGCCGATGGTGAATCGTAACCTGCCCCTTACTACCTCCCCTCGCGGCCACGCATTGTGGCCATCTACACCCGCTGAGATGTCGATATAACTTCTTGCGTGCCATACAGCGAGGGAAAAAAGTATTTGATCCCCTGCTGATTTTGTACGTTTGCCCACTGACAAATAAATGATCAGTCTATAATTTTAATTGTAGGTTTATTTGAACAGTGAGAGACAGAATAACAACAACAAAAATCCAGAAAAACGCATGTCAAAAATGTTATGAATTGATTTGCATTTTAATGAGGGAAATAAGTATTTGACCCCTCTGCAAAACATGACTTAGTACTTGGTGGCAAAACCCTTGTTGGCAATCACAGAGGTCAGACGTGTCTTGTAGTTGGCCACCAGGTTTGCACACATCTCAGGAGGGATTTTGTCCCATTCCTCTTTACAGATCTTCTCCACGTCATTAAGGTTTCGAGGCTGACGTTTGGCAACTCGAACCTTCAGCTCCCTCCACAGATTTTCTATGGGGTTAAGGTCTGGAGACTGGCTAGGCCACTCCAGGACCTTAATGTGCTTCTTCTTGAGCCACTCCTTTGTTGCCTTGGCCGTGTGTTTTGGGTCATTGTCATGCTGGAATACCCATCCACGACCCATTTTCAATGCCCTGGCTGAGGGAAGGAGGTTCTCACCCAAGATTTGATGGTACATGGCCCCGTCCATCGTCCCTTTGATGCGGTGAAGTTGTCCTGTCCCCTTAGCAGAAAAACACCCCCACAGCATACTGTTTCCACCTCCATGTTTGACGGTGCGGATGGTGTTCTTGGGGTCAAAGACAGCATTCCTCCTCTTCCAAACACGGCGAGCTGAGTTGATGCCAAAGAGCTCCATTTTGGTCTCATCTGACCACAACACTTTCACCCAGTTGTCCTCTGAATCATTCAGATGTTCATTGGCAAACTTCAGACGGGCATGTATATGTGCTTTCTTGAGCAGGGGGACCTTGCGGGCGCTGCAGGATTTCAGTCCTTCACGGCGTAGTGTGTTACCAATTGTTTTCTTGGTGACTATGGTCCCAGCTACCTTGAGAGCATTGACAAGATCCTCCCGTGTAGTTCTGGGCTGATTCCTCACCGTTCTCATGATCATTGCAACTCCACGAGGTGAGATCTTGCATGGAGCCCCAGGCCGAGGGAGACTGACAGTTCTTTTGTGTTTCTTCCATTTACGAATAATCGCACCAACTGTTGTCACCTTCTCACCAAGCTGCTTGGCAATGGTCTTGTAGCCCATTCCAGCCTTGTGTAGGTCTACAATTTTGTCCCTGACATCCTTGGAGAGCTCTTTGGTCTTGGCCATGGTGGAGAGTTTGGAATCTGATTGATTGTTTCTGTGGACAGGTGTCTTTTATACAGGTAACAAGCTGAGATTAGGAGCACTCCCTTTAAGAGTGTGCTCCTAATCTCAGCTCTTTACCTGTATAAAAGACACCTGGGATCCAGAAATCTTTCTGATTGAGAGGGGGTCAAATACTTATTTCCCTCATTACAATGCAAATCAATTTATAACATTTTTGACATGCGTTTTTCTGGATTTTGTTGTTATTCTGTCTCTCACTGTTCAAATAAACCTACCATTAACATTATAGACTGATCATTTCTTTGTCAGTGGGCAAATTTACAAAATCAGCAGGGGATCAAATACCTTTTTCCCTCACTGTACGTGTAACGACATCGGAATGGAATAGGAAGCAAAACTAAAATTCAAGAACACTATCGGTACCGAGGCTCACACAAGGCCATGCGGGAGTGTGTGGCACAATTTGGCACCAGCTATTATCGAGTGCGGTCGTTGTCACTACAGTTCTCTGCGGTGAGTACAACATCTTTAAAAACAACCGGCACTACGCCTCTCTAAATAAAATTAACGTTAACCGCTTGTGTTCAGAGATTCATCGGTGAAAGGGACACCCACCCTTCAACCTGCAGATGACTCGGAATGTAAAAGGGTTAATATTGCATCAATCTTCCCTGGGTATAATAAATCTCTGTATAAAACGAATGTTTTATATATATAGACAGCTAAAGCAGACAATAAGGATCACCTGCAGAAGTGGTGAAGTATAGTCATGGCCAGCTCAGCATTGTGTGGGGAACCCCCCCCCCCCCCCCCAATCGTGCTTACCCAGCAGGTCGGCCCCCTCGTCCACTTCACAGATGACCTCCGACCCCGCTGACGAAAGCTCTGCATACAGAGAGCTGTCGTTGACCCCGGTCTCCGTGTCGGCCCGGCTGGGTGTGCTGCAACTGAAGGGTCACAAACGCCTCCAATATGTCAATGTATGTTTGCAGAACTTATTTCACACCTGTACGTAGCCGACCGTGCTAATCGAAGGTGCGGGGGAAGGACAACAAACTAAACACAAAAAGCAGTTCTAAAGAAATGACAGCATGTCGACAATTCAAACTCAACTTCTGCAGCGTGCAGGTTATAAACAAATATAAATGACAACACGCATAGGTGCTGCTACTGCTGCTCACAAACAGCAGGAATGAGGCACACACATCCCAACATGCCCCATGTGCATGTCACGTGACCACCGTATTCCATTGTACAATGTTCTCACAGCCCTGTCTAGACCACCAGCTCAAAAGAGCCAAAAGCGTGGCCACATTATCGTTTCGAGTATTGCGTGTTGTCATTCAGACGAGGCTCCACAACAGAACGTCCTTAAGGAGCGGGCCCAGCTCAGCGCGGGGAACGTCAGCGGGAGAGCTCACGCTGACAGGAAGTGCGGCCCACAAGTGGACCGTCAGCCTCCGAACCCGCAGCTCGCGGGGATGGAGGGCCGAGCACGCTGCACAGACCTGCTGCCCACGTGCTGTGCGTCGCGGCCCCTGCTGCCGTCCTTGTTGCAAGGTGCCGAGCCGAGCTCTGGAGTCGTCTCGATGATGCCTTGCACGCCGGCCCAGCCGGAGGCTTTGTCTAGCGGAGAAGAGCGCAGACTCAGTACGGTGTACAACACTGCTTTGTGTGTTGTTGTAAAGCATTATGGGAAAACAAAATGTAAGCAAAACAATAGGCTTATGGGCAGTTTAAAATGTAGGTTTTTGCAACCAATATTACGGTTTTTTTGGGTTAGATTGTCTAAGTATAAATGTGTCATTAACCCACCACCCGACACAGCTAATTAGTAAGGTTTGCCATGTAAATAACATGTGCTAATTAGTTACTACTTCAGCAAACCGGTGTGTTGGAGAGTAAACCCAATACATTTACAATTTGAGTACGACCGTTCGCTGGTGATTACAACCAGCATCATCAAGCGATTTGAGTTCTGTTGATGCAGCTTTTCTACTGCGGTAATGTACACTCGGCCGACATGCAGATGAGCTTGATAATAAAAATAATGTTTAGTTTTCTACAGCGTGGTTCATGCAAATCGCATCTCACAATCGCCGAGGCAACCAACAGAGAAGCTTCAAGACAGCCGGGTGGTGCTGGCAATTACCCAAGCTCTGCGGTCGTCTATATATTAAGATGTTTTTAGCAAATGAAGGAGCCTTTTTATGACAATGTTCCATTGATCATACGTCAGCGAATTGATCAACGTACTTGGCTTCAGAAGTGAAGCAAGCTTGATTGATGGTCTTAGCCAAGTTGTAATCACCAATTACCATCAGATGCACAAAAATATACCCTTTAAAAAAATGGTTTTCAAATTTAAACTATTTTTTTTTACTTTACCAGGCAAGGCCCACCTAACCGTACAGCTCTTTTTCAGCAGCGACCTGGCCACAAATGATAGCTCAATGAAGTGGCTGATTGTGTAGAAATTTATAGCAGCCAAAGACTCTAAACGTATGTCGATTCTAAATGTGAAGGGAAAACCAGGGGAGTCGGAAAAAAATTCCACGCGACCACGTGGAGAGAGAGACATGAAAACTCTAAATATACAGCAGCAGGCGTCAGGGTCGGGATCGAACCCACGACCTCCTCCGGACCAGGTGAGGTAGTTAACATCTCGCCAACGTGGCACCCACTTTTACTTGGATTTCGTAAATTAATTTGTCCAAGCCGGCCTCATTTGCCGGGTTTCATTCTAAATGGGTCATAAACTCCAGAGTAGAGTGCCATGAAGGGTGAAATTGAAGGGAGTCATATCACAACCATGTGCTTTGCTAAGCTCACTTGTTTCCTTTTTGACCAAATCCCATTGACGTTCGCCGCAGATGGAAACCAAACTTGGGTCGCAGGGCCAATCTCGATATAAGCGTTTGAAAAAAAAAATATCCGAAGTGTTCTGCGTATAATCAGACACTCACCGCCAGGAGGCGCGTGCACTGCCTCGATGTTTAAGTGCTTGCTGTCTGGCAGTGGCTCCTCCTCCTTGTTGAGATTGTTCTGCAGCGCAACCTCAACGGAGTCGTGGCTCCCGGCCCCCACCACGTTGGCCGTCATCTCCGCGGTGACCGCTACACCGGCCTCGGGCGATGAAGGCTGATCAGCGCCCATCCTCCCTGCAGCAGTGTCGCCCTCCCTCCATGCAACAGAGTTGCCCGCAATCCCTGCAGCAGTGTCACCCATCCTCCCTGCAGCGTCGGCCTCCCTCCCTGCACCAGCGTCCCCCACCCTCCCTGCAGCAGCAGAGTTGCCCGCCGTCCCTGCAGTGGCGATGTCCGCACCCCCCGCAGCTGAGTCGCCTACCCTTCCTGCAGCAGCATTGCCCCCCCTCCCAGCAGCGGCTTCATCCTCCCTCCCTGCAGCAGGGTCGCCTGGGCTTGTGTCCAGAAGCTCATCCTGCCCGTGTGACAATGACAGCTCCCTGCTTTATCAACGTCTCTTGGTTCGGCTTTCACCGAGCAACACAACTGGCAAGCGCAGAGCTTAAAAATGTGCCTGACGCTTTGAAAGTGTACGCAAAACACTGACACAGAAGCAATTTAATTGTGAATGACAAATGTACTGTAGCACTGTTTGGCTATGTACGGTGCGAAAGAAGTTCAACGTACATATATTAGCCGAATCGGGATTCTTTAAATTTTAAAACCAATTCAAATTTCTCATGAAAATTAAAAACTGGCTCACGCTCTCGCCGATCCACAAGCCTGGGTGGGCCGGGTTGTTACCAAACAACTTTCGAGCGAAACGTTTCCATCCGTGTCCCATTCTGAACGAAACGCAACTCGAGGGTAAATTCAACTCGGGGACGTTTCGAGCAAGCCGGGCAGCGGCTCTCAAAGTTCGACGGAATCACAGATGCACGCACGTACGCTCACGTGGATCACGGATGGACACGCGCACGCAACTCGTCGATCGTAGCTCACCGCAAAGGCACGGTCGGGAGGGCGGCCCGCGGGCTCACCTTGAGGCTGGTGTTGGACACGAGGGGCGGCCTGCGCCACTGCTCCCCAACGACGACATCGGCGCCATCCTGCGGAGACGCCACGGGCACGGACGGGGATGGCTCCGGGCCCGGCAGCAGGAAGAGCCGCAGAGACTTGGGCCTGTCCCTCCTGCAAGGCAACCACAAGCGGCGGCCATTAACTAAATTGACGACCCTCCCACAATCGTTTCCTTCAAGGCAACGGAAAAATGCAAAAGTTGCCGACGAATGACGAATATATGTAACGGGCAAGGTGCAGCCCTGCAATCCCTTGCCAATACTGCCAGACATCTGCCTAAAAGAACTTTACGGCTCATCGGATTCCTCCAGTCTGCATAAAGATTCTAAATAAAAATTGGAATGCTACTGGCTGGCAGAAGGGCCATCACTACAGGGAGCTCTCGAGAAGCCCACAAGAGGGTATTTGGCCTATTCTTCCACATTACCCCCCCCCCCCCACACACGTGACCTGGTGATCGACTAACTCCGGTCGACCCATTTATACTGCTGGGTGGACAGGTGGGAGGACTTAATAAACTTGCACCACTGTTTCAACTGCCAAACTCAGAAATCGAACCGGCAACATGTGAATTTAAAGTCCAGTGTGTGGGCCATGACACTGTGGCAGCATCCAGAAATTAGCAATATAAAAAAAGTGGAACGCCAAGTAAATATGTTGACTGGGTGGACGTGTGGCATGGTGATCAGGGCACTGTGCTATTAAGAAAGTCAGTTCGATTCCCGGCCATGACGATAAATGGTCCTGGGCCCTCCTGAACCCATCTGCATCAACCAGCATGATAATGTATCATGAAACAACCACTGGCAGTGCACTGACAAAGCGGTGGCGAGATGTTATCTCCATCGCCTGGCATGCAGGAGGTCGTGAGCTCGATCCTGAACCTGAGCACCTGCACATTTGGGGTTTGCATATCTCTCTCACCTCGTGATCGCTTGGATTTTTCTCCAGGTCCTCCGGTTTTTACATCCACATTTAGAAACACGCATTTAGAGTATTTGTCTGCTATACATTTCCACATAAACCACTTCGCAGAGCTATCATTTGTGGTCAGGTCGCGTCTGAAAAAGAGGTATATAGCTCAGTGGGACTTACCTGGTAAAATAAAAAATAGTTTGGTTTATAGTTTACATAAAGTCCTGTTTTCGTAGGCGGCCGCCGTTAGAGAAATATGACATTGGTTGCATTCCGACTGATTTGATCATTTGTATTTTTTTTACAGCACATTAAATGACGATTTTCATAAATTAACGGCTAACACGTGCTGCATAGCTAAGGTGACATGGAAAAACACTTGCGAGATGATTATACCGACACTGCAATACTGATTAACTTGGTTGATGGATTACTGTCTTAAACGTAGAAAAGTGATGATATTTAGGCACTTGGGAAATGTTGTGGCACTCTCACACGTTGCATTCACCACACGTGTGCACGCTCACAACGTGCACAAAAGGTGAAGGAAATGTGATTAAGATGGCTGTGGGGAGACAGGAAACCAGGTGGGGAGATGCAGCAGGGGAAATGTTGCAGAAGGGAAGAGATGGAGATTGAGAGAAGCAGTGACACCGGCCAAAGGAAGAGGTTACGGCGGTCGAGATTAGTTCGGCCCCCGTAGCCGCAAATGAGATGACGGAACGGACGGACAAATGACACGTTGATTTCGGTGGAAGCTGGTGGAAAATTTAACAATTAAAATTAACATCCCTTGATAAAAATAACAAAACACTCCCGCATAATCCAATCACACGACCGTGTACACCACACACACTAAATGCATTCCCAGGAATTGTTCATTCATCATGGGCCCTAGATAAGCCCCTAAAAGCCATCCCTCCCAATCTATAAAATCCACCGAGCCTCTCCACAACTGTGATGATAACTCAGCCATGCCCACGGCCCTGCGGTGGAGCGTGTGCGGTAATGGGATGCAGAAAATAAATCTAAGTCACCGGCCCATTTATCCCTTTCGCTTCTCCCGAGGACTGGTGTCATACGGAAGACTGAACCACAGAGCATTCACTGCCAAGGTCTACACGAGGCGTGCACAGCACTCTTGTTGATCCACTGCTGGATGAGAGCATCTCGTGGATCCTCCACCACCGTGGTCCGTGTTGTGTTGGTAAATGAGTGTGATTTTGTGCCGGAGGAACACGTATCACGGGTCCACTGTCCCAGCTGTATTCCCCTCTAGCACTTGCCAATTAAGGAGAGTGTAAGAGCCACGGTTAAGCTAATGGGGGCTGTTGGTGTCTGGTATGAATCATCCACTGAAATCAGCAAGCCTGCCTGGGCTAGGCTCCCCCGCCATCCACCCTTCTCACAGCAAGCACTCACGCCGCTTACTGCACCATTATGAAATCCATATACGAATGAAAACATTGACACGTAATGCGATTATGGATGAGTTAAGCGCTATCTAGATGGTAGGGGTGGGCGCCTACGGAGGCGGTGACCAAGGCTTCACGTCAGCCAGCTCCGACCGAGTAAGAGACCCAGAAAATATATCTGTGGGACATTTTTGCCAGTATCAAAAATGATACAAACTGCTCGACGCAAGCTATAAATGATCTGCTACTTGCATCGCCTTTGTACCGTTCGCCTTTTTGGCATTCTCTGGTCTAATACTGGTGAGATGTAGCCCAAAAAAGAAGGCTGTCTCTGGTGTAGGCCAAACAGTTTCAGAGCATAATAATAGGGGTTTTCCCCTTTTTTCTGGCAACATAACTGAAACCTTTTTACAAGGATTCATGTCTGCATTAACCACAATACCTGCAGTCAAAATGCAAACAAAAAACACTGTGATAATATATGCATTGTCCTTGAAACTGATTGGTCCACACCAAGGGACGGCTTTCTTTAAGTTTCAGAGCATGTTTTGGTTGCATTTATTGCCACAAGTATGTGTGGTTAATACAGATTAGAAGCCTCGCAAAGAGTATCTAATTGCTGTTTGAACATCTTAACACCTCCCGTTTCATTGTCAGAGAGGGTAAACCAGAAAATATGTCCGTACCCGGCACACCACACCCATCATTCCAACAACTATAGATGTAGCTAATAGTCATTAAAAGTTGATAAAGTACTGTCTACGTGCATACACAGACGGACGGGGAAACGTAAGTAAAATTCCCGGCGTTCGCAATCAGTTGCCAGGCGGCACCCTTTCTTAACCAGGGCCGAGGGGCCAGAGAGAACAGAAACAGGAGGACTTCCTCACAATTCTGGCACATCCCCTGATCAAGCTGGTTGTTGTAATCACCGGAGAAACCTCGTACTCAAATTGCAAACGTCACGGGTGTACTCTCAAACGCACCGATGTGCCGAGGTAGTAGCTAATTGGCACGTGGCCAAGCTTACTAAATTGGCTGTGTCGGGTGGCGGTGAGTTAGCGACGACACACTTTCATTGACGCAATCTTACCCAAAAACAAGATTTACTACGGATAATATCGGTCGCGAAAAGCCTACTACTACTACTACGAGGTGTTTAAACCGAGCCACGGGGACAAATGCCAAGCACGCCGCACCGCAAGGGGTAGAGAGCCCAACAATGGCCTTGGCACATGCCAGCACCCAGAGCTCACAGTCTCGTAGCAAGGCCAATTAATCAGAATGCTCATCGTGTGCCAAGGCTGGCCGAGTTGACGCCCCGATTCTGGCAGCAGAAACGGCGCAGAATAATAGACCACCGTTGGAGGCGTTTTTTTTTGGGTTTGTTTGTTTTGGAGCCACTGTTGGTTTGGTGACGATGATCATTAGTTTTAATAATAATAATAATCACGCTAATTTGTAATGGGCACAATTTTCACTTGATCAGAAAGCAGCCATCCTGAGGCGTGGAGTCCGGATCCGCGTCTCCGTTTAATTTTTTTGTTGAACTCTCCTTTGCAGCAGAACGATGTGCCGGTTACGCGAGCGCTCAAAACTGTCGAAAGTTCATCGAGGCGCACGCAAGTTAAACTTCGATTTAAAGCTTTCGTGACTGCAGGGATTCATATTCTTGGTTCTTTCGGCAAAGTCACGTATAATTTTTATTATTATTATTTGATTATTTCCCTTCTACGTGACTTTACCGAAAGAACCAAGAATACACGCACGTTTCCATTTGTGTACATAAATTAGAAAAGAGTGTCCAATTACAGACGGGGACTCTCTGATCTAATATTACAGCTCATGAGCTCGCAAGATGACATCTGATTCCAAGTAGGTTGACAGCTTTCTTGACGATTCCCAGGCTTGCGTGTGGTTGGCAGCAAGGTTGTGTATTCACAGCGAGGATTTATTTTGTTACCGACCTTCATTAACGATATGGCGCTGGTCGTTTGCACCTGGGAGACTTGCAGTGAAGTTAGCAGAAGATTATGCTCATTACTCATCTTACGGCCATTCAGACTGTCAGTTTTACGTATTAAAGCTGAACCCCCGGGGCAGCATAAAGTAGTGAGAAAAAAAAGCTTTGGTATTTTCATTGCAGGTAGCAGTAGCCAATCAGCATGTGGGTGAATTAACCCTTTCCCGTTCCGATGACCGTACGTGTACGTCACCAAAACAAAACCGGAAGAAAAAATTAAGCAAAATAACTTCATCCATACCGAGGCTCCCACAAGGCCAGTTTGGCACCAGCTGTCAGAGTACGCGGTCGTGTTGCAACAGTTCTCTGCGGTGATTACAATGTCTTTAAAAACAAAGGCACCACGACGCTCTAAATAAAATTAACGCAAACCGCTTGCGCGTTGCGAGATTCGGCCGTGAATGGGACCCCACCCTGCAACTTGTAGATGTCTCGGAACGGGAAAATGTTAAAAGTGCTTCTTTGTTTGTTGACGTCGAAATGTGCTTATAAGGTGGACTGTGAGAAGGTCAAGAGGCGTGCTGCTTTAGCGATCAGGATTTTTTTCTACATCAATGCCACCGTCCGCACAAAAGTCTTCTTATTCTTAACATTCAGCATACGTATGTAGGCATGTTGAACTTCTTTCGTACCGTATGTAGCCAACCATGCTCATCGGAGGCGCGGTCACGGATGGTGCACACCCGAGCAGGCTTTTGGAGGCGGGCACTAAGTGGCCACCCCCTGCCACCTGAGTTACTCTCCGCCCCCTCTACCCA